GTATTATAAAACTGCTACCATTCCCTGGCTGGTGTTCCATGCCAGGCACCACCCTGTGTGTTCAAGCTCCTTCTGTTGCTCCATCTAATCCTCACGTGAGCTCATCAGGGTAATTAGACATAAGGAAACTGAAGTTTAGACACTGCACAACATGTCCAAGTCAGCTTAAATCTCATTCCAAACCGGTGCTCCCAACCCTCTTGCTATGCTACCTCCTCCAAGAGAGTGAGCGAGGAAACACGGAGGTGGGCGTCAGTACTTTGGGGGGCAGGCCAATACCTCCTCCCTCACCAAGCCCTTAAGGACATGGTCCTCTGCTTTGCAGTCTTGGTTCCCTGGGCTTGCAGCACAAGAGCACAACCCTGAGTGCCTGGCTAGAGAGCTATTTGGGAACTTTTCACATGAGTGGAGCGGAAATACCAGGAAGTGGGAGGAGTTCTGGTCTCTCCAGACAAGAAGCTAAAGAGGGTGGAGGAGTCAGAAGGGACATCCTGCCTCGCTTTAGATGGCTACACACCAGAGAGAATCGGCTCAGACAACAAGCCTAGCGCCACACAGGCCCCTGATTGGATGGAGAAGCATATCATGCTCATGGGTTGAAAGTATATACTCACCAGAGAAAGATGTATTAAGGCAAGGACACTTTGTTTGCTCAGTGTTTGAGACACTGGCAACAAAGGCGTTCTTGGAAAACTTAAAGTGTTATTGAGAGTGGTTTGGGAAGTAATTACATCACTGTTAATCATTTAGTAGCTTTGATTACTGAGCAGACAGCTGCCCCTCCTCCCCTCCACTTTCTGGGTGTTTTTGCTCTTCATGCTAAGGCTCTATAGGGGGGTCAGGAACGGTAATCTAGGAGACGGGGTCAAAGACCACAAAATAAATATTCAGATCAGAAATATGGCGTTCAGGCTGGACCAACTTGCTAAACTTCAGATTATACCTGTAGCCAGAAGAAAACTTGAAAGTCTAGATTAGGATCCCCCGATGATGAGAAGCACCGTTCAGGTGGCAAAGACTCATTCCTGGTGGAAACAGGTATGAGAAAGAACAACACATCATAGGCCGGTGGAAGAGTATTTTAGCCTCCCAGGATAGATATCAGGTGTTGAAGTACGTAAGCGGTCGTGTCCCCGTGAAAGGGGATTGTCAGCCCCTCGCGTAAACATTTTCAGAAATAAGATCAGTGTGTCCTCATCAGAAAGCCAAGGTCAGTGCCCCATCCTTGGCCTTCTAGGAGTAGTGTCTGCATGGTCACCTAAAGGAGTGGCTTTTGGATCCAAGGAATCTGCTTTGTTTCAGTTCTAAGAAACACAATCTCCTGCCTTTACACAAGTTCAACCTTTGCTCCACTTTCCTGTGGCTCTTCAAACATTTACTTACTAGAAGCTTTGTATTCATTGGCCGCATCACCACTATTTGCAAGAGTGGAGAACACAACAGGGAAGTTTGAAGTTCACATGTGGACAGGTAATCGCTGCCTTTAACTTGCTCTTACTTAGTGGAGGGTTAGTACGAGGTGTGATAGATCTTCAGGGATGCTCCCTTTAGGAACTTGTAAACAGGACTTGGAGAGAAACTTGCTGCCATCACCAAACATGGAATACTTGGTTAGTTTTGAATCTACCAGAGCCCTAGGGTTTTAGGACAAGGAGCTGGTAAGGTCAAAGGGCTCTGCCCCCTGCCATTTTTCCACTTCGTCAATAAGAAAACGGAGGCTCAAATCCAGCCCCTTGGCAAAACCTGAGGTTGATGCATTTTCCCAGAACACAGGATGAGATGCAAGAGTGTGTGTGAGGACAAGGGTGATGGTTGTCTTTCCCTCAAGGTGATTATGGGCTCATCTTGTACTTCAACACCCTTTTCTGCTTCCGGACATGTTCAACTCCACACATTCCAAACCTTTACTTTTCTCTAAACACGATTAGGCCACAGATGTACAAGCCGAAGGGAGGCAACTGGGGATGGGGGAAGCAGTTGGAGAGAGGGGGAAGGCAGCTAGAAAAAAAGCCAGAGCTCTTACTAAAGCCCTTCCACCCTGGATCAGCTCAGTTTATCTGACCGTGGATGCTGAGCAGCTGACTCTGTGTCTAGTTTATGGCACAGGCGGGCCAGCATTGAGGAAGTCATAAATGAGGCAGAAAGGACTCTCCCTCTGTAATAATCTCTTCAGAAAGCAGAGATGGGCTAAAGTAGTTATGAATCAGAGCACTACCCCATTGACCTAGGAAACCAAACTCTGTACCTCTGCTGGCCACGTACAGGCTACTTTTGTTCCAAACCATCCTTGGATGCAATCACGTGGCCTCCCCCATCAACCACCACGGCACTGGTAACTTTCAGGCATAAGAATCTCCTAGAAGGGAGGAGGGCTGGAGAAGGAAAGTGGAGAACAGTGTGCCCCCTCCCAGCCACCACAGTCCCTACCGAGCCTCCTCAGCTGCTTTTAACCTCAGGCCTTTCCACTCCAGCCAATCAAGCACTTCACACAAAGGGGGGGGGAGGGGGTGTAGCTATAGCAACTCTTTTCCAGACGATGATTGCCATCACCTGGACCACTGCATCTCTGTTGCTCTCCCCCTCTGAGGGCTATGGAGAAATGGAAGGGACTGAGTTCAGCAGAGGATAATTAGAGCCCACAAAGGTAAGCCAAGTGCCTAAGAGGTGTGAGGACTCAGACCACTGTGAGGTTCTCCTGACCTGAGAATTCAGATAGCATGAGTTAAAGCCCATGCTTTTACTCCACGAATGCAAGTCTGTGGGGTTTATTATTAATTAAAATGTTCACTTTTCTTCTTCATCGCAGACATTAAGACAAAACATGAAAATTAAGTAAAGAGAAGAAGAAACCACCCATATAATTTCCATCATCCAGAGAGAACAACTTTTAGTGGTTTGGTGTATATAAATCTTTGCTATGAAGCCTATGTGCCTTTTTAAGAAAATAAAAATGGAACACCGTACATGTCTTATTTAAAAAAAGATTTACTTCTTAAAGAGAGAGACAGAGACAGAGAGAGCCGGGGGAGGGGCAGAGGGAGAGAGAGTCTTAAGCAGACTCCATGCTGAATGCAGAGCCCAACGTGGGGCTCAGTCCTACAACCCTGAGATCATGACCTGAGCCAAAACGGAGTTGGATGCTCAGCTGACTGCACCACCCAGGGGCCCCAGTACATGTTGTTTTTACAGTGTGCTTCCTCACTTAAAACATTGTGACTATCTTTCCAAGTCAATAAATGTACATTTAAAATATCATTTTGAATGACTGCATAGTCCTTAATCATATGGGTTCATGCCAGCTTATTTATCCAGCCCCCTATTATTGGACATAAAGTTTGTGTTTAATTTTTTTTAATTAAGATTTTTATTTTAACTGCAGTATAGTTACCATACAGTGTTATATTCGTTTCAGGTATACGGTTTGTGTCTAATTTTTGACTGTAGTTAAATTTTATCATATGATCTTATTTATTTAGGTCAAATCCCCCAAATTGGAATTTCTGAGTCAAAAATGCATATATTCTAAGACTTGGATGCATATTGAGAAACTGCCATCAATTAACTTTCCTATCAGCAGTGTATGTCTGTTTATTAAACTCTCACTAACACTGAATCTCACTGGTATCTTCTTCCGGTTTTGACCATAACCACGTGTAAGTACTTACAGATACAAAAAGTACTGGGACGCCTGGGTGGCTCAGTTGGTTAAGCGGCTTCCTTCGGCTCAGGTCATGGTCTCAGGGTGCTGGGATCGAGCCCCGTGTCGGGCTCCATGCTCAGCTCATCCATGTTTCTACTTCTCCTTCTCCCTTTGCCCCAAACCCCGCTCATGCTCTCTCTCTCTCAAATAAGTAAATAAAATCTTTAAAAAAAATAAGAATACAAAAAGTACTCATACTGATTATGATTAATATGAATTTGTACGTTTAAAGGTCCAACACTGTGCTGGATCTGAGGACCCAAGGAGGGACACACGCAGTCAACTTGGCCTCAAAGTTTCTCAGAGAAAGACAACCTATAAATGTAAAAAATCTAAAATTATCTAGAGTGGGAGTATAAGTTTTAAGAAGTTTGTAAATGGGAGGAGGAGGGTGATGCAGAGCATGTAATAAGACATTGTTTCTAGAATCCTTGCTTTGGCATTATGACCGGTGCAATGATATACCCATCAAGGATGCACCTTTATTGAGTTCCCGCTAAATGGGAAGCAGCATGCTAAGGAATTATATAATCTCACAATATCTTTACAACATTCTTCTGAGAGGGGGTTTGTCATGTTATTTTGAAATTGAGGAAATCAGGGCACAGGTGTAACTGACTTACCCAAGGCCACATACATCTGGTAACCATCTGAGTCAAAAAGGTCCATGGAACTATGGTTAGAGCACAGGAGCCTAGACTCAGATGATTTGCCAGTTTGACACTGAGCTGTCCTAGCAGAGGAGAGAGAGAGAATCTGTAGCTCAATGAAGAATCAGTTATGATGAGTTTGGTTTGGAGAAAAGCCAACCCCTCTAATCCACAGGTTTGAAAATAGCCCTCTGAGGTAGGCGAGACCTAAAGCTCAGGAATCCCATTGGAGTGGGGGGCGGGGAGCTTGCTACTGAAGGAACATAACTAGAGGATGGATAGTCATTGGCTGTTCTTTCCCTCTTACTTTAGACTGTCTCAAAAGTTCTCAAACCTTAGCGTATGTAGGGATACACGAAGGCCTGTTAAATGCAGATCCCCTGGGTAAACCCAAGACCCTGCAGTGGGGCCCTTGAATCTATCCATCTGACCATCAGGAGAGACTGATGTAGGTGGTCCTTAGGTCAAGCTTTGAGAGCCATAGCAAGTTTACTGTGCTGAAATACATAATTCTGAGGTGAGTAGGGGAGGCTAGATGCTTCCCTGCCAGTGGGATCCAGAAGAAAGCCCGTAGTAGGGGGAAACTGAGCCCTTTATACTGAAGAGCCTTTGCCCAGCTGGTGGCTGGGTCATCTTACCTGGGGATAGCAATGGCTTTCCAAGGGGCCTGCCATCCCTGTAATACTTCAGGTAAGGTAGTAGTTCATATGTAAAATATTACATATGTAATACTTGACATGTAATTAATCAACAAAGAATTGTCTCTGGCTTTGCCCTGAGCTGTGTAGAGGGAGAGTGAGTGTTTATCCTCACAGTAACCTCTCCTTGGGGCCCTAAGCCTGGGTGAGGGGTACAGACCGTACCGACTGTCAGTAAATCCCCTCACAGCCATCAGCTCACTTAATCTAGGAGAATTTCCTATAAGATGGATTCAGCAGGTGATAATCATCATCATTATGATGATATCAACATCATCAACCATCACTATCATCATCATCACCACCACCACCATCTAACGTGGATGAAATGGTTCTTTCCCCGGGCATTGTGCCAGGCACTGGATTGCTTTCAATCCTCACCATGTCACTTGGGTGAAGATCCCTCTACAGTTTTACCCCCATTTTAGGGATCAGGAAATGAAGGGAAGTAACATGTCCCAGGCCACACAATTTGTGGTGGAGTTAGAATTCAGCCCAGGCCATCTGCTTACAACTTGAGTGGTTCTCTTGATTTTTCCCTTACTAGTGAGGAGGGATTAGGGGTTAGGAGGATGGAGGGGGGTTATGTGACCTTCCCAGGACCATGAAGTTTGTCAATGGTGTCACTGGATCCATTACCAGGGTCTTGCTGACTCCCTGCCCGAGCCTCTTTCTTCAAGACTGCAGCTTCTAGATGTGTTAGGACAGACTCTGAAAAGGGAAGGTTTTGGTTAATTAATGGCACTGAACAGAAGGCAAGCTGTGGTCCTCAGGGAACTGTACTATCTTTTAAGCTCCTGGCATGAGTGTTCAGGAGGCTGAGCCTCTGAGTTCTGCAGTGATACAGGTGTTAGATGCCATTTATGGCTCCCAGGATAGGCACTGAGGCCTCACTCAGGTCTGGGCTCTGTTTGGGGATTGAAAGTCATGCTGCCCAGAATTCGAGAGATAAGTGATACGATAAGATGAAACAACATTAGAATAATTGGGATCCCAGAAGAAGAAGAAAGAGAGAGAGGGGCAGAAGGTATATTGGAGCAAATAATAGCAGAGAACTTCCCTAACGTGGGGAAGGAAACAGGCATCAAAATCTAGGAGGCACAGAGAACCCCTCTCAAAATCAATAAAAATAGGTCAACACCCCGACATCTAATAGTAAAACTTACGAGTCTCAGAGACAAAGAGAAAATCCTGAAAGCAGCTTGGGAAAAGAGATATGTAACCTACAGTGGTAGAAACATTAGATTGGCAACAGACCTATCCACAGAGACCTGGCAGGCCAGAAAGGACTGGCATGATATCTTCAGAGCACTAAACGAGAAAAATATGCAGCCAAGAATACTATATCCAGCCAGGCTGTCATTGAAAATAGAAGGAGAGATAAAAAGCTTCCAGGACAAACAAAAACTAAAGGAATTTGCAAACACAAAACCAGCCCTACAAGAAATATTGAAAGAGGTCCTCTAAGCAAAAAGAGAGCCTAAAAGCAGCATAGATCAGAAAGGAACACAGATAATATACAGTAATAGTCACCTTCCAGGCAATACAATGGCACTAAATTCATACCTTTCAATAGTTACCCTGAATGTAAATGGGCTCAATGCCCCAATCAAAAGACACAGGCTATCAGATTGGATTAAAAAACAAGACCCATAGATAGGCTGTCTGCAAGAGACTCATTTTAGACCCAAAGACACCCCCAGATTGAAAGTGAGGGGGTGGAAAACCATTTACCATGCCAATGGCACCAAAAGAAAGCTGGGGTGGCAATCCTTATATCAGACAGATTAGATTTTAAAACAAAGACTGTAATAAGAGATGAAGAAGGACACTATATCCTACATAAAGGGTCTATGCAACAAGAAGATCTAACAATTGTAAATATCTATGCCCCTAATGTGGGAGCAGCCAATTATATAAGGCAATTAATAACAAAAGCAAAGAAACACATTGACAACAATACAATAATAGTGGGGGACTTTAACACCCCCCTGACTGAAATGGACAGATCATCTAAGCAAAAGATCAACAAGGAAATAAAGACTTTAAATGAAACACTGGACTAAATGGACTTCACAGACATATTCAGAACATTCCATCCCAAAGCAACGGAATACACATTCTTCTCTAGTGCCCATGGAACATTCTCCAGAATTGATCACATCCTAGGTCACAAATCAGGTTTCAACCGGTACCAAAAGATTGGGATTATTCCCTGCATATTTTCAGATCACAGTGCTTTGAAACTAGAACTCAATCACAAGAGGAAAGTCGGAAAGAACTCAAATACACGGAGGCTAAAGAGCATCCTACTAGAGAATGAATGGGTCAACCAGGAAATTAAAGAAGAATTAAAAAAATTCATGGAAACCAATGAAAATGAAAACACAACTGTTCAAAATCTTTGGGATACAGCAAAGGCAGTCCTGAGAGGAAAGTATATAGCAATACAAGCCTTTCTCAAGAAACAAGAAAGGTCTCAAATACACAACTTAACCCTACACCTAAAGGAGCTGGAGAAAGAACAGCAAATAAAGCCTAAACCCAGCAGGAAAAGAGAAATAATAAAGATCAGAGCAGAAATCAATGAACTAGAAACCAAAAGAACAGTAGAACAGATCAACAAAACTAGGAGCTGGTTTTTTGAAAGAATTAACAAGATTGATAAACCCCTGGCCAGACTTATCCAAAACAAAAGAGAAAGGACCCAAATCAACAAAATCATGAATGAAAGAGGAGAGATCACAACCAACACCAAAGAAATACAAACAATTATAAGAACACATTATGAGCAACTCTATGCCAGCAAATTAGATAACCTGGAAGAAATGGGTGCATTCCTAGAGCTGTATCAACTACCAAAATTGAACCAGGAAGAAATAGAAAACCTGAACAGACCTATAGCCACTAAGGAAATTGAAGCAGTCATCAAAAATCTCCCAAGAAACAAAAGCCCAGGGCCAGATGGCTTCCCAGGGGAATTCTATCAGACATTTCAAGAAGAGTTAATACCTATTCTCCTGAAACTGTTCCAAAAAATAGAAATGGAAGGAAAACTTCCAAACTCATTTTATGAGGCCACCAATACCCTGATCCCAAAACCAGACAAAGACCCCATCACAAAGGAGAATTACAGACCAATATCCTTGATGAACATGGATGCAAAAATTCTCACCAAAATACTAGCCAATAGGATCCAACAGTACATTAAAAGGATTATTCACCACGACCAAGTGGGATTTATCCCTGGGCTGCAAGGCTGGTTCAACATCCGCAAATCAACCAACGTGATACAATACATTAACAAAAGAAAGAACAAGAATCCTATGATCCTCTCAATAGATGCAGAAAAAGCATTTGACAAAGTACAGCATCCTTTCTTGATCAAAACTCTTCAGAGTATAGGGATAGAGGGTACATACCTCAATATCATAAAAGCCATCTATGAAAAACCTACAGCGAGTATCATTCTCAATGGGGAAAGGCTGAGAGCCTTTCCCCTAAGGTCAGGAACGCGGCAGGGATGTCCACTCTCACCACTGCTATTCAACATAGTATTAGAAGTCCTAGCCACAGCAATCAGACAACAAAAAGAAATCAAAGGCATCCAAATCAGCAAAGAGGAAGTCAAACTCTCACTCTTTGCAGATGATATGATACTGTATGTGGAAAACCCAAAAGACTCCACCCCAACACTGCTAGAACTCATACAGGAATTCAGTAAAGTAGCAAGATAGAAAATCAATGCACAGAAATCTGTGGCATTCCTATACACCAACAACAAGACAGAAGAGAGACAAATCAAGGAGTCGATCCCATTTACAATTGCACCCAAAACCATAAGATACCTAGGAATAAATTTAGCCAAAGAGGCAAAGGATCTGTACTCAGAAAACTATAAAATACTCATGAAAGAAATTGAAGAAGACACAAAGAAATGGAAAAACGTTCCATGCTCATGGATTGGAAGAACAAATATTGTAAAGATGTCAGTGCTACCTAGAGCAAGCTACACATTCAATGCAATCCCCATCAAAATAGCATCCGCCTTTTTCAAAGAAATGGGAACAAATAATCCTAAAATTTGTATGGAAGCAGAAGAGACCCCGAATAGCCAGCGGACAATTGAAAAAGAAAAGCAAAGCTGGCGGCATCACAATTCCGGACTTCCAGCTCTATTACAAAGCTGTCATCGTCAAGACAGTATGGTACTGGCACAAAAACAGACACATAGATCAATGGAACAGAATCGAGAGCCCAGAAATGGACCCTCAACTCTATGGTCAACTAATCTTTGACAAAGCAGGAAGGAATGTCCAGTGGAAAAAAGGCAGTCTCTTCAACAAATGGTGTTGGGAAAATTGGACAGCCACATGCAGAAGAATGAAACTGGACCATTTCCTGACACCACACACAAAACTAGACTCCAAATGGTTGAAAGACCTAAACGTAAGACAGGAGTCCATCAAAATCCTAAAGGAGAACACAGGCAGCAACCTCTTCGACCTCAGCCGCAGCAACTTCTTCCTAGAAACATCGCCAAAGGCAAGGGAAGCCAGGGCAAAAATGAACTATTGGGATTTCATCAAGATAAAAAAGCTTTTGCACAGCAAAAGAAACAGTCCACAAAACCAAAAGACAACCGACACAATGGGAGAAAATATTTGCAAATGACATACCAGATAAAGGGCTAGTATCCAAAATCTATAAAGAACTTCTCAAACTCAACACCCAAAGAACAAATAATCCAATCAAGAAATGGGCAGAAGACATGAACAGACATTTTTCCAAAGAAGACATCCAAATGGCCAACAGACACATGAAAAAGTGCTCCACATCGCTCGGCATCAGGGAAATCCAAATCAAAACCTCCATGAGATACCACCTCACACCAGTCAGAATGGCTAAAATGAACAAGTCAGGAAACGACAGATGTTGGCGGGGATGTGGAGAAAGGGGAACCCTCCTACACTGTTGGTGGGAATGCAAGCTGGTGCAACCCCTCTGGAAAACAGTATGGAGGTTCCTCAAACAGTTGAAAATAGAGCTACCATACAAGCCAGCAACTGCACTACTGGGTATTTACCCCAAAGATACAAATGTAGGGATCTGAAGGGGCACGTGCACCCCAATGTTTATAGCAGCAATGTCCACAATAGCCAAACTGTGGAAAGAGCCAAGATGTCCATCGACAGATGAATGGATAAAGAAGAAGTGGTATATATACACAATGGAATATTATGCAGCCATCGAAAGGAATGAGATCTTGCCATTTGCAACGACGTGGATGGAACTGGAGGGTGTTATGCTGAGTGAAATAAGTCAATCAGAGAAAGACATGTATCATATGACCTCACTGATATGAGGAATTCTTAATCTCAGGAAACAAACTGAGGGTTGCTGGAGTGGTTGGGGGATGGGAGGGATGGGGTGGCTGGGTGATAGACATTGGGTAGGGTATGTGCTATGGTGAGCGCTGTGAATTGTACAAGACTGATGAATCATGGATCTACACTTCTGAAACGAATAATACAATATATGTTAAGAAAAAAAAAGAAGATAGCAGGAGGGGAAGAATGAAGGGGAGTAAGTCGGAGGGGGAGACGAACCATGAGAGATGATGGACTCTGAAAAACAAACTGAGGGTTCTAGAGGGGAGGGGGTGGGGGGACGGGTTAGCCTGGTGGGGTATTAAAGAGGGCACGTTCTGCGTGGAGCACTGGGTGTTATGTACAAACAATGAATCATGGAACACTACATCAAAAACTAATGATGTAATATATGGTGATTAACATAACAATAAAAAATTATTAAAAAAAGAAAGTCATGCTGCCCAGCCAACATTAATTCTGACACTCTTTACTAGTATGCTGGTGACTTGGCTTGAGGCTGCTAACCTCGCTGTGGGCTTCCAGGTTCCCTGGAACATCTCCCATCCATTCAGTATGCAAAGGCTGGGTGCAGGCCTCCAGATTGCCATGGACAAGATCAACTCAGAGACAGTGGACCTCGGAAGCTTCAGCTGGGAATTCACTTATACCAACTCAACTTGCAGCATCAAGGAGTCTCTTGCTATTCTCACCAATCAGGTCCAGAGACAACAGATTTCTGCCCTGTTTGGACCAGCATGTCCAGAAGCAGCAGAGGTGGAGTATAGCCTTCTAAAAACTTTGGCTGGTTTTCGTCGGAAGGGATGGTTTTAAAGGTGATGGGACAGACTTGAATAATCTCTTGGCAAGGATGACATTATTATAAATAATAACTATGTAGGGTTTGGATACCATTTCTTTGAGATGTAATTAGACCATGTAATTAGAACAGGTAATATTCTCTTGAAAGAAAGGCTTTCAAATCAATAATTGTTAGTTCACTCATAACTTGTAGATAGATGTTCACTAACAAACTCGTCGATTATTTGGACATGGTGCTGTTGTGTGTAGACTCATACTATTCACTCGAATGTTGTCAGCCACATGGCTCAGGGAAATTAAGTAGAAAATGAATGTTTTGTTTCAAGCAGAAAAACATCATTTGTTTGTGTAGGTTTCCCTTTGGTGTGTGTGATAAATCATTCAGTGATGTTGGGAGAAAATGGGAAAGAGTGAAGTATGACAGATTGCTATAAACTGGGGCAAGCAAAGAAGACAATCAAATGACTTGTATCTGTTTAGTTAATGGGATTAACTTTGTGGAAGTCCTTGGTATCTTGCCCTCTGAGAGGTGTGGATGCAAGGTGGGAATAGGAAAGAGCATTATAGCCCTCACTCTCAAAAATACTGCATAACTGTCATTAGTGGCTGCTATCAAATGAAGTTCACACTTGAACTTGGATCTTGGTCTCTTCTGGAATTTTTCTTCTGACACGTTTCTAGCTGTCCAGAGCCTACTCATTCTTCAAAGTCAAGTTCAAATGCCATGGAGTCTTTCTTCACTCCTCCGCCCTCACCCCTCCTATCCCTAATTCCCCAATCAGAAGTAATTTTTTACTTTTCTTAACTCCTGTAGGTCTATAGCCTATAAATATTGAAGGGTATATTCAACTCTGAAACTATTTTTATATGTCTTAGCTCCTGTAATAAGTGATCATAAGCTCTTTTAAGGGCAAGATCTCCAAAGTTGGTTGTAAATAGTAAGCTCCTAATGAAAAGTATTGAGAAGTGAATAAGGAAGAAATAAGTCAACAAATGCTTGCTGTGGTTATTCTTGTCCTTTGAGGTTTTGCATCCTCAAGATGGATCCAAAACATTATCATCAATATTCCAAAAGAGAGGGTCCAGTATGACCCACAGACTTACCAAATTCTAAGTTTACGTAGATACCTTATGATAGGGGTTGAGTGTAGTGTAAACTGAATTATGGAAAGACATCCCTTTGGTTCCTTTCAAGATTATTGGCTTGCTGGCCTCAGAGTGGAATATCCCTGTGTTTGACTTCACTGGACAAATGGCAAAACTGGAGGACAACTTCTTATATGACACCCATGTGACCCTTGTGCCACCCAGGCTCAAAATTGGTGATGTGCTCCAGAGAAGTCTCCAGTGCCTGGGCTGGAAACACATTGGGGTGTTTGGAGGTCACTCTGGGCCTTCCTCCTGGGATGGAGTGGATGAATTGTGGAAGGTTGTAGAGAATGGACTCAAAACCCATTTCACTATCACTGCCAGTGTGAAATACACCAACAATGACCCAGCGTTCCTTCAAGAGAATCTTAGAAGCATGTCATTGGCTGCCAGAAGTAAGTAGGAAAGAGTCTTCTGTTGCTTATGTTTAGAGAGCCAAATAAGAAAAGCGGATTGTTTGAAAAAAAAACAAAGAACTCCTCATTTTTCTATGGATGTAAGCAGAAAGAAACGGGGTGCAAAATTAATGATACACAAAGCATCACCAACAACAAAGTCATTTTTTTAAAATCTACAGTGAAATCCCTGATGCTATAGTGTTATGATGCATAGAGTAGGTTCTGGAAGCATCTGCCAGGTGGGCTGGGTCCTTCATTTGGGTTATTGTTTAGAGCACGGGCTCTGGAGGTAAACAGCCGTAGGTTTGAAACCAGCCTCTGACACTTTCTAGCGGTGTGCTCTTGGGCAAATACATTAAGCTCTCTGTGCTTCAGACACCTTCCCTGTGAGATGGAGACAATCTTCCTACCTACGTCATAGAATGGTGAGGATTAACTAAAGTCCTGCCTGTTGAGCGCTGACCATAACTGGTCAGCATAAGATAGCAATTATTCTTATTGTGGTACTTAAGAGGCTCTCCTTTCTAGCATGATTTAGTATCTGACTCTTTTCTGTTCTTCAAATAAATTAAGCCCTTTATGGGCTTCATGGCCTCGGGACTTGGAGACTTGCTGATCCCTTGGCCTGGAGTGCTACCTGCCACCCTACCCCACTCCACCCAGCACTCTTTCTGTGGGTAGCTTCCTCTTATCCTTCCAGATTCAGCCCAGAGCCCACCTTGTCTGAGGGGCCTTTTCTGACTGCCTGCTATGGAGCAGTACCCCACCCCCACCCCACCACTCACACATTAATATCAGAACCTCCTTTCCCCTCGCAAACCAGAACCTTACACGCTCTCTCTAACTCTTCACTTGAATGCTGTGTGACTGTCAGCTTCCTGAGGGCATGGGTCTTCTCTCGTGCCAACTGCTGTATCCTTTGCAACACACAATTGGGACTCAAATAAGCAGACTCTCATTTACCTCATTTAAAAAATAAGTCACTGCTTCAGTTGGGTGTCCTCAAAATGCATGCTGATGTGTTTGGAGGGAAGAAAAGCGGCTGGCCTGGCCCTCCTCCTCGTCCCCCATCCAGACTCAGAAGGTCTGAATGCTCCTGATTCTGGGTCATCTGTGAACTCCTCCTAACTGCTGTGTGGCTGATGAGTCACAAGCCAGATCCGTTGCTCTGAGCGAATTAAATGAAGAAACTAGAGCACAGAAGTGGCCACCAGTTTTGTTGGCTTGTACTTTGGGACAGACCCGCAGTGAGGATTTTTGGGCTGCAGGGTGAGAGCTGCCAGCCTGTGGACTGTGGACGTGGTTCAGGAAGTGTCCACACTGGGGACGGTTTAGGCATTCCTGTTTCCTCAAGCTTGCTCAAGGAAAGAGAAAGTTCAGGTCTCATTTGCTCATTTGGAGTGGCTTCAGGCCACACTTTTTAAAAAAGTGTGTGTGTGTGTGTGTGTGTGTGTGTGCGCGCGCGCGCGCATGTGAGCATGTGCCAGTGACTGACTTTGTTTTCTCTTCTTAGTTATCATCCTAATCTGCAGCTCAGAGGATGCAAAAATTATTCTGCTGGCTGCAGAGAACCTGGGACGCAGCACAGGAGAATTTGTCTTCATTATTGTGCTGTGGTTGGAGGTGGGTGCTGATAAGCCCTCAGTAAGAAGTAACAAGTCGGGGTGCCTGGGTGGCTCCATCAGTTGAGTGTCCGACTCTTGGTTTTGGCTCAGGTCATGATCTCAGGGTCATGGGATCGAGCCCCACACTGGGCTCTGTGCTCAGCCGGGAGTCCACTTGAGATTCTCTCTCTCCTTCTCCCTCTGCCCCTCCCCCCACTCGCGTTCTCTGTTGCTCACTCTCTCTCTCTCTCTCTCTCAAATAAATAAATAAAATCTTAAAAAAAAAAAAGGATTAACAACTAGGGAACACTTGCTATGTGCCAGATGCATTAGCTCACTGAATACTCGCTACTACCTTATGAGCCAGGTACACTTATGTCCTCATTTTACGATCGGGACACTGAAATGGAGCTCAAAGAACTTACCCAGAGTTCTTCTGCATAGTGAGTGAGAGGTCCCTGTTGGAGCCCCAGCAAAGGCCTGGAAAGACCAATATACTGGTTCCATAAGGCAATTCTTAAGTGGTTTGGTTCATGTGGTAATGATCAGGATGGCTAAAATGTACCACATACTTCCTCTAAGTTCCTATACGTACACATATTACTTGTCCTGTTGCACTCAGTATTCTGCGAGACCCATGTGGCAGATATTCCAGCCTCAATTTACACCATCGTGGCACTCATTTCCAACAACCTTGGAAGGTAGACGTTATTAGCATTTCAAAGAACCAACCGGAGGCTCCGATAACTAAGGTACCTTACCCGAGAGCTCAGAGCTCCCCAGTGGCATAGCTGGCCCTCCACACTGGGTCTTCTGGACACTGGGCCTGAGCCGTTCACCCCAATAGCTCTGCCTTATGGAGTGCTGACTTGTACCAGGCCCCACCGTGAACACTTGATGTACTGAAACCCACTTTAGCTCACATCACCCCACGGGGAGGTACTTTTTATTGCCCTCATTTTATTGATGAGGAAACTGAGTCCCTGAGGGCAGAAATAACTTGCCCAAGGCCATGTGACTAGGAGGAGGGAGAGCTAGTATTCAAACCCAAGTAGGGTGGCCTCAGGGTCTGTCAGCACATCCCATTCACAGCCTTCTAAAAAAATGCCACATACATTTAGCTTTGGACACACTGTATAATTTTTATAGCAGATTTATCTTTCTAAAGTGAACTTGGTTTGTTTTATTTATTTTTTTTAAAGATTTATTTATTTGAGAGAGAGAGCACGAGTGAGGGGAGGGGAAGCAGGAGAGAATCTTCAAGCAGATTCCCCACTGAGCAGGGAGCCCAAGGTGGAGCTTGATCCCATGACCCATGAGATCATGACCTGAGCTGAAACCAGGAGCTGGACGCTTACTGGACTGAGCCCACCCGGGTGCCCCATAAAGTGAGCTTGTTTTATATAATCATGAGCTGAAACAGAGCAAAAGGGAGTAAAGAAAAATGTATAATAATATTCTGGAGTTCTTTTATCTTTTTATCAAGAAGTATTTTGGATTGCCCAAAGTGTCTCAGATTTTTCTGGGCAGCCAGCTGGAATTCTAAACATATGCCAGACTTCCCAGAACGTCCTCCTGCCTCCCTTGGTTATTGCGGACCACCTTTTCTCTTCACTTCTGTCTCCTCTGCCTGCTGCAGCCAGATGAGGAGAGGCTGGGACAGGTCTTAGTACTGGCAGGGAAGCCTTCAACCCCCTCGTCACTTTCTCCCCAAGCCTCGACAATCACATTCCAACTGGCTTACAGTGGCAGAAAGCTTATAGAATTAAAAATATACCATACAACGTCCATGCAATTGAATTCACACTACTTTAAAAAAAGGAATAGCATAAATTCATTCTATAAAATATCCCCAATATAGGCTTCCTATATGGGGAAAAATATCAAGGTACAGAACAGCATTATACTGTGATATTATTTACATAAAATGTACACACATGCACATACACACTCCTCTGCACAGGCCTAGAACGGTTGGGTACCTCTCGGAACAGACAGGAGGGAGCCGTAGGGAAATCAGGAAAGGCCTGCATGTATAGATACATACAGTAAGTGGGCACTCCTTTCATAATAGTAATAATATAGATGATAACAATCCTAACAAACCACTGACGCCACAAGCAGAAAATTGAGAATTAACAGTCCTCAATTTTTCAAGCTTTTTGCCACCCTTTGGTACAAGGTAAGCTTTCTGCATCTTAGCTTCTTGACACCCCAGGTAAGCTTTTATTCTTTATTAGTCTTATTTGGCTTCCATCCCACTGCTTCAGTGGCTGGCTTGAAAATGTGGACGCGTGGCAGGCCTTCCAGAGTCATTGTGTTTCCGAGGATTATGAGGAAGAGATTCAATTTGACATTGTCTTTAAGCAGTTCTGTTGAACAGGGATATGTCCTACGATGGCGACATTTATTTCATTGTGTTTTAGGACAGCTTTTGGAAGGAGGTATTGACAAATCAGAAGGTGACACACTTCCCCACGGTCTACGAGTCAGTGTTTCTCATAGCCCTGGACTCCTATGGAGAAGGCCCCGGACATGCAGGCTTCTGGAAGCAAGTCTACCAAAGGCTGAGGGGGCCGCCCTTCTCCAGCACCATCTCCACAGAGGAGCAGGTCTGGTGTGGGGCCTTCCTGCACAGACCCCTGTCCCCTTCCTGGAGAATATTTGTGTTTGGCTCTGCTAGTCTCCCTCTTATTTCCCCTCTGCTTGCCCCACACCCCTAACACACACACACACACACACACACACACACACACACACACACACACTTTCTCATCTTCCAGAGCCCACAATAAATAGTAGTCTGATGCCATCTTGTGAAATCTGCACCCCACCATCACAGAGGAGGACAGAGGTTGCTGGGTGAAATGCCGGTGACCTTTGGAGTTAGAGACCTGGGCTCCCATCCCAGTTCTTTTATTTACTAACTGTGGGCCTTGAGGGGGAATTTCTTAACCTCCCTGCACATCTGTCCCTTTACCTGAAAAATGAGCCTCCTGAGAATATCTGTCTCTGGGCTGTGGTTTTGAGTAGCTAATAAACCAGGGCATAGAAGTGACAGAAGAGATCCCAGTGAACTCAGGCCCCATTAATTCCCTTTCCTGGCAGGATGCCAGGACCAGGGGGTGTCAGAGATGTGGAGCTAGGAGAGGTCGAGGCAAGCAGATGGTGGAGCACAGGGAGAAGACAGTCAGGAGAGAGATAAGCAGCCAATCTGATCATGAGGGAGATCCCTGACTGTGTGGGATGATGGGGCAAAGTGTCTGACTCCCACAGAGAATTTTTTTTTAAGATTTTATTTATTTATTTATTTATTTGACAGAGAGGGAACACAAGCAGGGGGGGTGGGAGAGGGAGAAGCAAGCTCCCCGCTGAGCAAGGAGCCCGATATGGGACTGGATTCCAGGACCCTGGGATCACGACCTGAGCTGAAGGCAGAGGCTTAACAGACTGAGCCACCCAGCCATCCCTCCCACAGAGAATTTTTTATAGAGACACCATTGCCAGAGCTGGAGCTACTCGCAGAGTGGGGCTGATCTGACCTGGAATGTGATGATGGGTCACTGATGACAAGGGTTCCATTAGGAACAAGGTGGCCCATTGTGGATCCTAACAAGTAAGATGATCAACTGATAAATATTTGGGGGGTCATCTACTAAGTGTTAGTTCTGTACCAGGTTCTATGGGGAGAACAGTGCCTAGCCCTTAGTAGGCACTTGTATTTTTGTTGACTAAATGAATAGAACATATAGTGAAGACCTACTATGTGCTTTGGGAGTGGGGAATGGTAGTATACATATTGTACCTCATTTAACTATCACACTCACCATGACAGTGGCCTTCTCCTCGTTGTGTAAATAAGCGAGGTGAGACTCAGGTTCAGAGAGGTTATGGAACTCACCCCATGTCTCACAGCCAATAAAGCAGCTGAGCCAACCGGGCTCCGAAATCTGCCCTTTCAATTAAACCAGCCTCCCTCCCACCCAGGGTGTTAAAGAGTTGCTCCTAGATCATGTGATCTAATTGGGAAACTGAGGCCCAAAGAGACAAAGTGTAGTCTGTGATATCCAGGTTTGACAGCACAGGCCCTGGGGAGGTGGGGGGCCCTCCCCCCCCCGGGAGATGATTGAGACCAGGTGTGTGTGCTGGGGCGAAGAGGCTGGAGAGAGAGTCCCCTCCCACCCAGCCTTTGTCACCCTCGCTGAAGGTGAGCCCGTACCCTGTGAGACATGCCTCGTGAGGTCATGCCAGGATCTTCCCCATCCTGCGCCCTCCCTGATGGGGGGTACTGGGCCTGATTCTTGACTATCAGCTTCTAACGATGGGTCCGCCCTTTCTGGCTTTCCTCGAGGAGCCACCCTGTGTGCTGACCTGCTGCCACCACCTTTCTCTACTTCAGTTTTCTCATTTCTAAGACAGAGATCCTACCTCCTGCCACAGATAGTAATCACAGCCAGAACCAGTCAAGGGCTTACCTTATACCAAGCTGGGTACCGAGAGCTTCTGTGGGCTGTCTTGTTTAATCCCCCCACAACCCATGAGGCAGTCCTATTACTATCTGGATTATATTATACAGGTAAGTAAACCCAGGGCAGAAAAGTTATGTACTTGCCCGGGGAGACAAGGTCATTAGATGGTGGAGCCAGAAATCATACTAAGGCCTGCCTCTCTCTAGGGGCTCAGGTTCTTACTGTTGGGTTAACACTGAGGTGTAGTGCTCATCAAATGCTAGGATTTGTGTTTTCTTTGACTTATCACTCACTTAATAAATTACAGCCTAAACTTTGTCCTGAAACTTAAAGAGGATATAACCCAGACCTGCTCCTTGGGGTTTTCACAGACTCAGTTCATGTGTACTCCATCAACTCCTTTTCCAAGTGGAGATACTAACCAGCTTCCCCCCTTCCTTTTCTTGATGACCCTGAAGGATTTGCTTAAAAAAAAAAAGGGAGGTGGGGGTGAGGAGTGTGTCTTCCTGCTCTTGTTTTATCCCCTCTGCCAGATCAATTTATTTCCTCTTTCCTGCCCTTTAAAAATTCCTAATGCTAGAATTAGTGGAGGGTGTGAGGGCCAGCAGGGCCCTTTAAGAGAGCCCAAGGCATGTCCCCTTGGGGTTCTGGGGTGCCTGAGCTTTCCAGGACTCAAGGCTGGAGGCCCCTCACTCCTTCCAAACTGGCTTCTGTTCTCTTCTGTGCTGGAGGACTGGCCCTTAACAGAGTTAGGATACAAGTCTCTGCTTCTTGTATTCATTTCTGCCACACAGTGGCCAGGACCACAGCCACAGAACTAGTTGGTGCTGAAGGTCTTTACACCAATCGAAAAGACGACCTTGGCCAAGGAGGTCAAATTAGGAAATGGAGATCCCATCCCCTCTTTGCACAATGAACACAATTCCCGCTGAAAGCAGCAATGTTGGTCATCGCATTTGCTCCAGCCCCTCTCTGCAAACCTTAGCAGGGAGCTGTGCTCAACCCCCAAGTTCAGGATGTCAGCACGCATATGCATAGCAAGGCAGCACGGGCTGCTGGGAAGAACACGGCCCTTGGGGCCCAGTAGGCCTGCCTCTCTTCCTGGCTCTGAAAACTCAGGGGAGTCTGCCTCCCACCTCTGCTTGTTAAGGAGTGGATGATGGTGCCTCCCCTGCAGGGTCCACTGGGACTAGAGGTGTGAAATCACCAGGACTTGCAGTGCTGGGCACAGAGCAGGTGCCTAATAAATGGTTATTTCGTGTCCTGCCCCCAACGGGAACAAATCAACAATAAGCCCTATGTCGGACCGTGTGTCCTTAGTCGCAGGTGTGTCCTTTGTGCATGGTTGAGCGCATCCTAAGCAAGGACAATGAACACACCTGGGCCAGGATGGGGCGCCATGTCAATGCCAAAACCAGGAGGGAAGGGGCTCACTAGGAACAAAGTTTGCAAACTCGTGCCTGGGGCCTGGCATGTCATCTGCCTCGTTTTGTCACATCTGATTATTGTAGAGAAGCATAAATCTTGGGTTTTATGTGAAAAACAACTGCTTAACGACTTCTTTTTTTTTTTTTCTTTTTAACGTTGGACGGGCTCCCCAGCATAGGCCGGACGACGTACATCTCACTGCCCACAGTGGCCTTTGGGCCACGAGAGGACTACCTCTGAAGCATCTTCTCTTCCTCACACTCCTCCTTGGCCCTTTCTCAGGTTCCCTGAAATGGCAAAACCCTCACGGCTGGCTCCTGGTGGCTGCGAGGAGGAGGTTCTGCTGCTGGGAGCTGGTGGGCTGGCATTTCGAGCCCCATGCACCTCTCCCCTCCTCATCGTGGGCATCTTCTCTCTTCCCAGGAATCACCGGCCCCGTGTGTGTGTAGACTCCCAGGGAGAGAGGCATATGAATTACTCGGTTCATGCCCTACGGACATCCAGAAACAGGACGCCCTTTCTTCCTTTTCTTCAACATGACAGCTATCAGAAAGTAATCAGGTCCTGGGCAGGACATTCCTCCACATGTAGATGGTGCTACAGGAAGGGACCTGGGAGGGGAGGGTGGTGGTGGGGGAGAGGGTCCTGCTGGGAGGCCAGTTTGGGACTCAGCTCCTGGAACCCACCACACAGGTTGTCTGTAGCTCTCTGAACTCATATGAAGATCAGCTTTGGGCCTTTAAAATAATTTTGCCCCTGATGGTGGGTGTGGCCCAGCCGCTTCAGATTCCAGTTTAGAACACAGCACCCCCCACCCCCCCCAAGGGCACCTCCACGGGGACCTGGGCCTTCTCTGACACCGCAGCCAGGCAGGTCTCCCTGGCCTATGATCTCAGGGAGAGGCCCTGGCCTAGGGGTGATGGGATACAGTGCCCCCTTGCAGGGTTGACTCCCCAACCAGCTGAACCCACTCACCCAGGCAGCCTGATTCCCAAATCCAGACCTTGGTGGACACCAGGACCTGGCTGTTGTTCTGGGTTCCCGAGCCTAGGAATCCCCAGAAAAATCCATTTTTTTCTTTCAGCTCTGAATCAATGAGAAAACTGAAAGGAAACCTAAACCTTAATTGAATTTCTACTTGTCCCCACTGTCCCCACCACCCCTAATCCAGATTGGATTTGACACTTTTTTCCTCCCTACTCTCATGGAATTTTAAAGTGCCAAAGTAAGTTGGCCCAGGAAATGCAATAACGATGGCAAAATAGATCCTCAGCGTTGTAGGAAGAGGCATTCTCCACGTGGGGGGAGAGGTTCTGGTCTGTGAAAGGGCAAGGTGCTCTATAACAAGATTTGTCTATATCCAACATGGGAGCAAATCCCAGTAGCCCCGGAGAGTTGGCAGATCGTTTTTAAATCAAAAGTGACAGGGTTTAAATCAAAAGTTTAAGTCAGCTCTTTTACCCAACAGAAAGATATTGCCCTTCCATGAATTAGATCACCTGCAGGTGAATTTGGAGAGTCTAAGTGAGGTGTGGAAATTGGATGGGTCACCAAATGTTTCAGTTAAGAGACCAAGGCCTGCTTCTTGCAAATGACATGCATGTTTTAGTTGCTCCTGCTATGCCTAAGGTTGAGACAGAGTAGGATAAATCAAGCGAGCCCTGACTTTTCACTGTCTTTTTTTTTTTTTCAAAGACCCATGGGGAATTTCTCCAGGATTCGTTGGCCCCATGGCTCCCTTTCTGAAGACAGACCCAGCTGTGAATTTTACAACGAGCTCTGTGAACCCGCACCTGCTTCTACAGGTCAGGGAGGGTGCTCGGAGAAGGCGGCAGGTAGGGATTCTCCACGGGAGGGGGGGGGTCTCAGCAGCAGTGGTGCTGACATGTCAGGCAGGATGCTTTTTGTGTGGGGATGTGTCCTGTGCACTGTAGGATGCTTAGCAGTGCCCTGGGCCCCCACCCACTACAAGCCAGCAGCATCCTCTAGTTGCAGCCACCCACCCCCGACATCTCCAACATCGCCTGCCTCCCCTGCAGAGAACCTCAACTCCAGGGAAACCTGGCTCCTGGGATGTGAGTCTCAGGGACTTCATTTCTAAGGAGTTAGAGAGAGTCTGAACAAAGGAGTGTTGCCTGGTGGTTAGGAGCCCAGGCCTGGAGTTGGATGGATCATAACTGAGAACAACTCTAAGGAGAGCACATAGGAAATGTTCAGTCACCACCATTCTCTACAATGGACATTTCTATACAGAGGGGGAGGTGAGTGTAGTTGCCATGGGAACCGGAGGGGGGCGTCAGAAAAGAATCCTTGGAAAAGACAAGTCTGAGTGGACCCAGTATATCCTAGCTTGGGCCCTTGCCTTTGAGGCACCTACTTGGCAGGACCAGCCAGGACCCCGAATGTGCTCACTTCGGTTCTTCAGCAGGCTGTAGTAATGACATGTCTCTGCCCTCCAGGTGTGACTGCTGTGATCCTCACAATGACCCTCCTGATTACTGTCCTGGGAGCTGTGATCATAGGTCTGATTTTAAGGATGCAGAGTGGAAAATTGCAAAAGCAAAATAAAGACATTTGGTGGCAAATCAATTATGATGACATCACCGTTCTGCCCCAGAACAAGGTGAGGCCACACCTAGCCCAGACAGCCATTTTCTGCTCACTGCTAGTGATTTCCAGAAGGGAACTCATCTAGGAGTTTCTGAAAGCTGAGGCTGAGTTATTTATAACGTGGGTGCTTAACAGAGTCTTAAGACCCGCGTTCTGCTTCTGGGCCTCCCATTTCTTCTTGGTGAATATCTTTGGGGGACCTCATTTCTAGGCATCAGTTTTTCAATACTTTAAAATGATCAGATGGTCCCAAAGGTTCCCTTCAGCTCTATTACCCTGTGGGCATAAGAACCCATACATCCTGTTCAGACATTAAAGTTGTCTCCTGAGCAGCATTTAGTTATTTTCAAAACCACATTAACTCCTTGATCTACTGATGACAAAGACAGTTAAGATTCTTTTCCTCGATACACACAAGTTAGACATCGACTGCAGGCCAAACATAGTGCAAGGCATGGCGACATACCGCAAATGATGTCTTCTGAGGAAGGCAAGCACTCTGAGAGACGTCTGTCTACCTGGTAAGACAGAAGCCCCGCAAACGAGAGTACATGTTTCAGCATCGTGAAGGCTTCAGAAAGGAGGTGACATTTGGGAAGAGCGGTTTGCTAGTGGGGAGCAGGAGAGAAGTAACACAGGGTGTGCTAAGATGTGGGGCACTCAAGACGGGGAGGCTTGGCACACATTTAATAAGCATAACGCTATTTGATAAGTATATAACATTTACATAATTTCAAAAAATACTACTATGACCATCTCTTATGACTTAGCATATTTTCGCTTGGAATGCTGAAGTGTCTTTTCTTTCTTTCCTTTTTTTCTTTTTCTCTGTTTTTGTTATTAATATTAAACAGTGCAATCTTTGCAAGTGTATACTGATTATTCTGGAACATTTATTGCCCTACTGGAAACGTTAGTGAGAAATGTTTTTTAGAGTAGAAAGATAGACTTGGGTTTCTGTAGTTTAAGAAGAACTCTTTGTTCCTGGAGGGAAGGAGAGGAAGTGGGGCTCAATTTTACCTTTATCTCAATTTATTAAAAACCTACAAGTGCAATGAACTTTATTTTAAAGATCAGTCAGTTTAGACGTTCAGATAGTACTTGCTCGGGAGTACATGCTACTCAAGATATTAAGAGAATAATAAGAATCTATGTACTTGAGCAGATGTATGAAACTTAAATGGTTCAAAGCAAAAGAAAAGTGTTCTAGAATGTTGTTGCTTGTCAAAAAAAAAAAAAAAAAAAAAAGCACCAAGGTAGACCAAAGTATACAGGTTTGTTCTAACAGACATTTAGGTTGACTTTAAAGATGAGGAATACATTATTGTCAAGATCAAACATTTCTCTCATGTTATGTATCTATCATTCCTGTTATATAGGCTTTATTTTCAAAATTGTCATTGTGGTAGTCGTTTCTTTTTATTGGTATCCTTATATGTACTATTCATTCAATAAGTGAGTTAGGACTTTCAAAAAAAAGGTGACTTGGAGATACCAAAGTCAAGGAGGCTCCAACATGTGAAGACCAGATTGGGATTCATTAGCAAGTCATTTTCAAATGTCCCTGGGGATTCTGGGGCTCACTGGTCTGGCCGGGGGTGAACAATAGATTGAAGGTGGAGGTGTGACAGAGAAGAATCCTGAGCCTCCTTCCCTCTTCAACCAAAGCAACTCTGCTTTGTCCTACCTGGTTTCTGCATTAGGTTTCCAGGTAAGACTCTCCTTGAAAAACAAGGTTCCTCTGTGTTAAACGCATTCTTTAGGTCTTGGGGAGACACTGGGGGTATGAAATAGAGCGGTCATGTGGTTAGATGCTCATTTAGAAAGAGGACTCTGGCATCAAGTAACACATCTAGGTAAGTGCCAGAGCCAGAACTTGAATTTGGGCAGTCTGACCCCAGAGCCTGAGCCGTGACACTGTCTGTGGTGGTATGGACACAAGAGGGACGTGTCGCAGGGAAGCACTCACACTTTGGGTCAGAGGATCAGGATTTGAATCCCGACTCTCCCGTGTATTAACTGTGTGACCTTGGCACTCATTTTCTTCACCTGTAAATGGTACAGTCTCTTCAGTACTTGGTCATGCTACTGAGAACAATGGAATTGCTTCCTGTCTTACAGCCATCTCAGAGAGGCACACCTGTGTCGAGAGGGGACAAGAGTCATTCTTCTGGTATGATGGTTTCTGGGGACGCCAGTTCCTTTGTCAAGAGCCAGCAGAGGGAAGAGCTCTTTTATGCCCCAGTAGGGCTTTACCAGGTACTCCTGAGGGCAAAGTGGCTGCCTGTAGGTCCTAGTGTGTGTCTCTGTTCCATTCTCTACATGTCCTTTCTGTCTGGCAGGGTATTGTGAATAGAGGGACACTCCAGGTAAAAGCCAGGGTAGTCCTATAACTCCAGACTTGTGCTTCTCAAACTTGAACTTCTAAAGGAGCCGTAACGGTCGGGGTGTGGGAGAGAGGCTAAGAAAGGCAGGCAGGGATTATGCTTCAAGCTTCAGCAACTGCCAGTCCTTCTAGCACAGCAACAACATTACCCACAACGGATTCCTCAGTGCAGAATAGCAAGGATGCAGTAATCCATGCTCTAGGACGACAGTGTCCAATAAGGTACCCATTCACCACATGAGGCTAAATAAATTTAAATTAATTAAAATTATATAAAATTTAAAATTAGTTCCCCAGCACCCTAATGTTTCATAGTCTTCACTCCTTTAGAAGTTCAAGTCCCCTGGGTGAAAAATATGTGAAGAAAGAAAACCCCTATATTTATTCTTTGAAATGGAAATCCTGGAGAGTAGGGGCAAAAGCTCCAAGCAAGGGGAGACTTGTTCTTTGCCCTAAACTGGATTTAGCAAAGATTGGAGCCAAAGCTTTCCTTATGCAACTGAACTTATTTTTCTAAATATTTACTTGGGTTTTCCAACTACAAAAAACCATCCTGGATATCATCCCTCATCAAACGCTAAGGACCTTTATGAGTACAAAACTATTTTTTCTGAAAAATTTTATTTCTTTATTTAACAGAAAGAGAGAGGAAGAGCCTAAGCAGTGAGAGTAGCAGAGGGAGAGGGAGAAGCAGGGTCTCTACTGAGCAGAGAGCCCAATGTGGGGCTCCATCCCAGGACCCTGGGATCATGACCTGAGCCGAAGGCAGATGCTTAACCGACTGAGCCACGCAGGTGCCCCCAAAAAACTGTATATTATGGTCAAGTAGCAATTTAGAGATGGCGGCCAACAATCCACAGCATATCCGTATTGGTTAAGCCCCCTGAAATGTTTGTCCTCCTTTCCCTCAAACACCATCACTGGGGTCCCCACCTCTGTGGCCCATACGATGGTGTCCAAACCCTTTAACACAGGCTTAAGGCTCTCTACCCAACCTACTTTCAGAAAAATTGTTTCTCCTGGCTTAAATCCTGTACTCACCCAATGGGTCTTGCTGCTTAGACCATGTGTGTTTTGCCCTCAGACAATGCCATGCCTGCTGCCCCTGCCCCACTCCATCTGGTACCTTCTTGTCCTTCGGGGTTCAACTTAAGCATTACTTCTTCCAAGGACCCTCTCCTCCATCCCGCAGGGGTCCCTGCATCCATGGAACTCCCATCACAGTCCGGAGTCTTTTGCAATTAACCCCATACTAAAAGTGGCAGATCTTGGTTGACATTTAAATCACATGGAGGCTTACCTTCTCTTGTGTCCAGATTCTCTCTCTCCTTCTATGCCAATTTTTCCAGGTTGTCCTGTGATTTGTGGTGAGTGATGGACTCTCTAAAAGCAAACTCAATAGTAATGACAACCAAGAAGATAGGCTACTGACTGAAAGCTTGATCTGTGCCCAGCTTTGAGTTAACAGTGTTACATATTTTAACTGACTGAACCCTCATAAAAACCCTATAAGATGGGTTTTATTTTTAATCTCCATGGTACAGATGAAGAAATGGGAGCCTGGAGAAGCGAAATCCCTTATTCAAGATTATGTAAGCAGTAAGTAGTAGAAATAGGCTTGAACCAGGTATCTGATTCCAGACTTACACTTAAGACCTCAGCTCACTATTCCTCTGAATGAAAATGAGATATTACTGTATAATAGAAACAGAGCACCCTTAGAGGCAGATGGTCAAATTCTGGCTGTATTACCTACCAGTGTGTGACCTTGGACAAGTCACTTAAACTCAGTGATCTCATCTGGAAACAGGCTAAACATACCCACCTCGCAGGACTGTGTCGTCTGGTAAATGAGATCTCATGTGTTGAGCAACTAGCTGAGTGCCTACAGCTGCCCTAGGGCTGATGTGGGAGCTTGATGGTCCCTTTCGTAGATGGGTTTCTTGCCGGTTTTCCTGCTTCCCTTCCTAGTCTTTTCTGAGTGGAGCTTTTTCTGGATCATCTAGATTAAGAATATTCCACTTTGTCTCTGGTTCCAGGGAAACCATGTGGCCATCTGCTATGTTGGTGACCAAGCTAAAGCCTGGGTCAGGAAACCATCTGTGCTGCAGGAAATCCGGCTGGTAAGGCGCCTGCCCTTGGAAGAGAGAAAGTAATGATGTTCTCTGGCTCTCTGCTGCCAGCTCCTGGTTCTCATCTGGAAATGCCCCAGGCCACAGGATCAATGGTGGGAAGCTGCTTCCCTTACCTTGGCCCACTACCCCATCCCCTGACAGCCGAGACATTAGGCTTCAGATCCTTTAGCCTGACCCAAGCACCTGAAATCTGGGACCCCTTCCAGCCTTGCTCTTTCTCCTTAATTTTTCTGGTCTTAATTCTACCTCTCCATCCTCTGTGTCTCCATCCTCTCTGCTGCTCACCTCCCTCGAACCTGGTCCTTGGATAGAGTCAGATTCATGGAGTCTGATTTCTTGCTCGAGATCTGTGACCTGGCATGCCCCTCCCCCCACTGGCATCGACAGCCAAGAACGTCAGGAAGAGGGGCCAGGTTTATGGTTTTAGGTTAGACTTTGATCATTCCTCTAGTTTATTGGCTAGAGGAAGGCTGCCTGGATATACCTCCCAGCTCTGCCACTAAGAAGTTGTATGATCTTCAACACATTGTTTTACTGTTTGAGCATCAGTTTCCTCATCTGTGAAATGGGAGCAGTCATAGTTCTTTTCTCACCTTTTCTCTGTGTGAGAATTAGCTGCATGTATGTCAAGCATGTAGCAGAGCTCCCGGCACAGGAGACATACTGTAATCATCAGCTACTATTATTATTTTCCTGTGTATGAATTAAGGCATGAAAACATTGTCCCTTTCTTTGGTATTTGCACAGAACCACCCAACATCTGCATTGTCACCCAGTATTGCAAGAAAGGGAGTCTTAAGGCAAACAAACTAGTACATCTTACCTAGGGTTTGATTAGTAGCAGCTAATAAAGAACCTTATCGATGTTTTGCCCTTCATCCAAGAACAGTTCCTCTCGGGTCTAATCAAAAGACCTGAATTATCTCGTTGGGCCACCGGCAGGGGATATGATTAGCAGTGGAATTGCCAACAGTCTGGTTTCCTTTGCTTTGGGTGGAAATTGTCTGAGCCTGTTAGCATCTCTTAAGACATTATAATCACTTCCAAATTATGTTTCTGGACTCATCCTACCCATGGTATGTGACCATCAGCTTTATGTTAGGAACAAGGAAGTATTTAAAAGACTCCAGACCAGGTAACTTTGTCAACATTGAATCGGGTTATGATATCTCCTGGGAAATTTCCAGTACTGGCTGTCGAGTACTCTGCCTCGGGGTGTAGTAGTTCTGGTCGAAATCATCCAATGTGTTAGAATCAAATCCATTCAACATGCGAAGCTCCCTGTGCTTCCAGTGGAGCCACTGGTAGTAATTCGAATAACTGTTTTTTCAGAATGTTTCGAGAAACTCAGATAAGGAGATGGATTGGATGTTCAAACTCTCCTTTGCTTATGACATACTCCATGTAAGTGTCATGTAAATCTCATTTAAAGAACAAATACCAGTGTTTTTGAGTTGTTCTGTGTCTTGGGTTAAACTGAACTGTAATCTTTCCTGAAAATTCTCTCTTCCTCAGATCTCCTCAAACAAAATGATTCCACTTCGAAAATTCACCGCTTCAATCAGATTTCCCATTCTTTTCTCCCTCCCTGATTCCAAGTAAATAGTGAGAAGTATTTTACACTAGAGTTGAAAGGGGTGCTGGGCTTATCCAATCAGGAAGAAGCAAGATATTTACATTTCAGGCTGCAACTTTTTACCCCAAAGAAAAGCTAATTACTAGACCATGAAGCAAGCTGGGGAGGAGGGTTCTTAACACCCCTTCCTTCTGCCTAGTTTTTGATTCCTCTCCCCAGAAAACAGCCACAAATCTGTCGAGCTAAGAGGTGGGCTGGGGATGCAGACCTGGGAAGATGTATAAGCAGGCAGGGTCTTTACTTTGGGCAAAGAGGGCTGTGGTGTCCGCAAAAAAAGATTAATAATAACAGTAGTAGTAGTAGTAGCTAAAATATATTTAGTGCTTATTTTTGCCCACTTTCTATCACTTTGTGTATATTAACTTATTTAATTCTCACAACGAAATATAAGGTAGAGCTATCATTCTATCCACTTTACAGATGGAAGGTGAGTCGTAGGGCCATGTCAGTGTGGACCAGCCTCCTGAGGCTGTCCTCCTTGCCCTCGGCTACAACCCAGCTGCTCTTTGTAAGCTCGCTGTGCCTGCTTTCGCCATCAGAGGGGACCACTCCAATGACGTGAGAGTGGGTCTTAGGGAGGAAGTCCCTCAGTCTGACACACGGGCAGCAGGGCAGGGCTGGTCATCATCTGTCAATCAACAGCCCATTCATCAACCAACAGACTCCTCTGGGCAAAACCTGGCCTGGGTGTTGGGAGGGACACAGGGTGAGACATACAGTAGAGGGCTGGTGGCTCTTGGAGTGACTTTGGTAAGTCACTTCCCCTCACTGGAGGGGAAGCTTCCATGTGGGTTTAAGAGAAGAGGCTGGTCTGATTGATATCAAAGAACTTTCTTTTTTTCTCTAGGATCTAATTGCTCTTTACTTCTGAGAAGTTGTCTTACTTGTGAAACTTCGGTATCTTAGGCTTTAGTGGGAAACCAGCATATTGTCATTACCAAGAAAGGCAGACAATGGAAGCCTCCCATAACAGATCCTCACAGACGACCCTGGGCCACTACTGTTTGTTAGTATTTCAGGAAGACTTCACTGAACATCTCTTAAGGGTTTGCCTTACTCTAGGCACTTTCATAGGAGGACAAGGACTTGTTTTTAATCTCTGAATGGATTAAAATCTAGCTACAGAAAAAAAAAGTCAGGAAATGTACGTGTAAAATTAAGTGGTGGAACGGTTAAAATTAGGAGGCTCTGATGTGGCATCCTCTCCTACCCTGGGCTCCTCCTTCCTTCCCTTCACCCCCTTTCCCTTCCCTGCTCACCAAGCCCAGGGAAGTACTCTAGACTCTGGGGATCTGTCTCCTGCTGCTGACATCATATATATTGCCTCTGAAGAGAAACTAGTGAGTGCTCCCCAGGTAAGGTATGGAAAACAAATAGATTTAGCTTTTTCAGTTGGCATTTGGTTTTCAAGAGGTATTAACCCAAAAGTTTCCCTGAAGAAGCACTGGGGTGGACGAGAATGGCACTCTGAAGGGCAAGTCTCCCTGGTGGTCTTCAGTCGCTCTGGGTCACTGAGTCTGCCCGCTGTTCCATGCCAGGGAAACCAGACAGCCTGACACCTTGCTTTAGAAGGATTGTGGTCTTCTGAAATGGAGTGTGTACATGATGGGACAGTATAAGGAAGTCAGAGTGAGTTAGGTCAAGGCACATTTAGGCCCTTTAAGACCAATTTCTCTGCCAGCATTCCTTCAAAGGGGACAAATAGTAACAAAAATTCACTATAGCTTCTCAGAGCTTCCCCACTGGTGACTTTGACATGAACCCAAGCATTGGCCATACTCTGTGGGTCAGATTGCACTTCTGGCCATCCCATATCAATCATAAGAACAATTCCTCTCCGGATGTCTATTTGACCAGAACATTCTCTATACCAGGTACCAGAGAGATTCTGAGACGCCACAGACTTTTTAAGTCAACAAACGTATGTTGATTGAGCGCCTGATTTGTCTCAGACCCAATTCTGAGCATGGAGGGCACAGAGAAATAGGCTCATTGTCCTCTCCCTAAAGAGTTCAACCCAGTGGGGCCAGCCTGGGAAGGAGCTTTGGAAATTGTAATATTCTTCTTGAGTTAGGGATGGGCCTTCATTTCTTAGTAAGAGAAGTCTTGATGGATTAAGAGGAAGAGGGCAGTTTGGCATAGAAGTTGCTTAGGGGTTTGAACCCTGACTCTCTACTACTGGCCAGGTGAACTTAACTACCCTGAGCCTCAGTCTCCCTATGTATCAACTAAAGAAAACAGCAGTACCCACCTAATAGAGTTGTTTCGAGAAGTAAGTATACTCAGCACCACGCCCGCCCCCATAACAGGCACCAGTAAATATTCATTGTTAGTAGGAGCAGTACTATTACTATTACCACAGATTACTAGTACTAACTAGTACTACAAACTTGTACATTTAAAAAGTTTCATTCCCATGGGGCTCCTGGGTGGCTCAGTCAGTTAAGTGTCTGACTCTTGATTTTGGCTCAGGTCATGATCTCAGGGTTGTGGGATTGAGCCCCCACTGGGCTCCGTGCTGGGTGTGAAGTCCGCTTCAGATTCTCTCTCTCTCCCTCTTCCCTCTGCCCCCCCCCACTCACGCACACATGTGCTCTCTCTCTTTCAAATAAGTAAATAAATCCCGTAAAGAAATTTCATTCCCCCAACAACCCTCTGGGATAAGTCAGCACTGTCCAAACCATAGCAGCTGCATGGGACTATTGGCCAGTGGCAATGTGGCGAGCTCAAATTGAGGGGTGCTCTAAGTGTGAAATTCACACAAGATCCAAAGACTTGGAAAGAAAAAACAACCAGAATTTAAAGTATCTCATTATTTTTATGTTGATTACATGTCAAAATAAGATTTTTTAATACACTGGGTTAAATAAAATATGTCATTAAAGTTAATTTCCCCTATTTAACTGAAAAATTGAAAATTATACCTGTGGCTCATATTGTGTTTCTCTTGGACAGTACTCTTAATAATTAGCAATTAACTCCACTATGAATTCTTTCTTCCTCCCTCCCTTCCTTTCTTTCTTTCTTTCTTTCTTTCTTTCTTTCTTTCTTTCTTTCTTTCTTTCTTTCTTTCTTTCTTTCTTTTTTTAGAGAGGGGGAGGCACAGAGAGAAAAGGAGAGAGAGAGAATCTTAAAGCAGTTTCCACGCCCAGGGGGTACTGGATCTCATGATCCTGAGATCATGACCTATTTGGTCTGTGACAATATATATGAAATCATACGTTTCCACCAAGGTAGGAGAAAAAAAAAAAAACCCCAAACCTGAAGAGATGGGTTTTATAACCCTTTGGAGAGGGTTATATTCCTAAACTTTTAACCATCCCTAAACATATTGTTTATGTTGTAATGGAATGAATGCTGTTAATAAATCTGGATATCAGGGGTAATCAGTGGTGCCTGAATAAAGGATCTCCTGCCTGCGTTGGGCCTGGCGCTAGCAGGGCAGAAAGAGTTGTGAGCATCAGGGGCAGTCCTATTGCACAGGGAGGTCGCCACGAAATGAGAGAGAATTCCGGATTGGAGACAGGTCGGCCCAGATTTCAAGCCCAGAGGCTTGTTGGAGCCTCATTAGAGAGTTCCAGAGGTAGCCCCAGCCAGGCCCCTCCAGTTTTGGACCCCCTCCCTGGGGGTAGAGTCCATTCAGGGCCTCCTCACATTCCCCCTTGCTGGAACACTGAGTGCCACCATGGCCTCCTGCTACCCCACCTGTGGGTGACTTCACCTCCCTCCACAGCTTGGGACACATTTGAATCTGGGCTGTTCCTGTATCACGGTGTGAGGAGAATGGGTGTACTTTGATCCACCCTCCTCCTCCTCCTGTACAATCAGTCACCAGGGGACCAGAAACAGTGAGATCTAATGATTTAGAAGCGGCTGTGCTTTTGAAGGCACCCCAACCTGGGTTTATATTCTGCCTTCACTCTTTGGGAGCAATTTAAAACTGTGCGTTTCCTCATCGGGAGACAGAGAATGAGAACATTAACCTGTCTTCCAGAAAGACAGGATGTGATCCTACGTATGAAGAGAGCAGAGTGCATAGTACAAAGTGCTCAGAGAAAGGTTTGTTGCTATTTATTTGTTCATCAGCGATCCAGATCTCGGGATGAATTTTCATGGACCCTTGTGGCTTCAGTGCAATGCTCAATCACGCCTTTTCTTTGCCCTTCGGAGCTTTCCTTCGTCAGCCACGGGGCATTTGTGCAGTGGGTCAAGGGCGGGGACGTGGGGAGGGCACTGCAGCCCTCCCAGTCCTGCCCCACCACAGGCCAGCGCTGTGACCTGGCGCAGGTGAAATTCGTCATTTCTCCCTTTTCTTCTTTCCTTATTTGTAAGATGAGGTTGACGATAATACCACCTGCGTCTACAGGGTCACTAGGGGAATTACATGAGTTGGTTTAAGTAAGGAACTTAGGTTGATACCACATACCACATACCACATAACTTAAAACAGAAAAAGATCCAGTAAGACCCTCGAAAGAGACATGGTCATGTTCGCTCTTGCTCCGGAACCTCTGGGGTGAGGCAGGTGGGAGGAGGCCCGCGCTCCTCAGGCTGATGCAGGTGCAATGGCCCCATGACAGCCCCATGCCCGTGACGTCCTGAGGCTGCTGCCTTCCTACAATCTCCCACGCTGAGTATTCTGCAAATGGCTCGGAGACTCAGATCAAAGATATAGAGAGCCTTTATGTCTGTACTCTAAGTCCAAGAAGCTGGAAATGTTGAATAAATAGTACGGAAATGTCTTATGGTGAAGCCATCAAGGAAGGTAAGAAAATAAAGACCCCAGGATCGCCCACAGTGGGGCCCCCCTGGCTCCCTGCACTCCTGTGGTTACTTCTGGAATGCAATCAGCCCTGTCCCCCTCGCCTTCATATCACTGCTGCTAGCCTGCCCTGGGACATCGCAGAGATATGTCAACATCCATCCATCTGATCCTGCTTCAAATGTGACAGCTCTCATTTTCAAATTTATCTCTTCTGTCTCTGTCTTCCTCCAATAATTGTTGGTCTTTCTTTGAGCCCTACCTGCCTATGGAAAGATCTGTGCACTCTGCTCCCATCTCCCTGCCAAATGAGCATGCTCTCTGCCTTGGTGACTCACCCTGAGCTTGGTCTTCCCGTTGGCACTCTATCCCCCATTCTTTCCAATTAGTATATGTGCGGCCGAAGCGAGGCCTCTATCCCCCATTCTGATCCCTCTCTTGCTTTGGGTTCCTTAGCATCAGGCTTGGCTTGTACTGCACATGATCTGTAGCTAATACAGGCTCTTGTGTTCGGGTCTAAGCATTGGCTTTTTCTTTCTAAGCTCCCCAGGTGGCTTTAATGGGCAGCCAGGGTGTGGAACAACAGAGGAGGACAGGTGTTCTCAGGCTATGTGCACAAGAATCTCCTAGGGAGGGATCAGGTTAAAATGCACAGTCTGATTCAGTACATCTGGACCAGGCCTAAGACTCTGCATTTCTGCCAAGCTCCCAGGTGATGTTGGTGCTGCTGGTCCCTAGGCCATCTTTCAAGTAGTGGGGATCTAGGCAGGCCCATCTCAGAGGTGGTCTAATTGAGGCCCCGTGAGATGAAGTGCCTTGTTTGAAGAGACTGAGTGGTCAAGTGGAGGTGTGAATGCACATCTTCTGATTCTAATGTTCTTTCTGGGCCTCTTCATAAATAATGGTAGTTTATTACTGCATAATAATAATAGATATAAACCCTTAAGAACACAGTGGATGACATGAGAATTTTTCAGCATTCCTCATTTTATCGCCTTTCCCTTGCAACGTGCTCAAACAGGACCCTGAAGTGGATATAACAGAATGTAATATTCTATTATTATAGAATCATTATATGCAGGTAGGAGTAGAGTATAATTCCTAACACGTAGGTAATAATAGTCTTAATTACATAGTGTTGTTTCCATATTGTTTATATATTTATCATATTTATACACATTTTCCTGATAATTTATGGTGAGGATTTACTTTGTGTCATGCCTTATGTCTGGTGTCTCACAAACATTATGTGGTGTACCCTCCACAGCCACCCTAGGAGCTAGGGATTATTGTCACCTGTTTTGATGAGAAAAATGAGGCTTACGGGGTAAAGTAACTTGCTCTCTGCTAAGTGTTAGAGCTGGGATTTCAATTAAGGAGTCTGATCACTCCCTCAGATTCTATTTTATTTAGCTTATTTGTTTTAGGCTAGCCTTGCCTTCCTGGCTCCACACCAGGGGGCCAGAAATAGTCTTCCCCTACTTGGGTAACCCTACCCAGGTTGACTCATGGGAAAGGGGCTCTGTTAGTGGCTCTGGAACCAAATGAACCTAGAGATGGGTGCGTCCCCCTCCCCTGGGTCTGTGTTTCTGTCCATCTGTTTCTGTTTCTTCCAGCAGGGTCCATTGACACTCTAATTCATTTGCTTATTTTCACTCTTTCAGGGCATGCTGTTCCTCCGCCGGAGCCCCCTGGGGTCCCATGGCAACCTGAAGCCTTCCAACTGCTCGGTGGACAGCCGGGTGCAGGTGAAGCTGACGGGCTTTGGGCTGTGGGAGCTCAAGTATGGCCGGACCTACAGAACGTACAGCGGGGGACCGACAGACCACTCGGGTAACCACTGGTAGATATTGCACCCACTAGCTACCAGCAGAGTAGTCACAGGGCGCCTGCCCCGCCCCCTCTGCCACCTGAAGCTCACTGGCACAGGGACCCGTCGGGGGCCTGCCTCTGGAGTTGACTGTGTGTGGCTGTTCTATTCACCGGAGGGAGCGAGAGAAAAATAGCCTCCAGGGTGGTGAGTCTGTGGGGTGATGTCCGAGTTAGGAGGCTAGCTCTCACCCTGGCGGAGCTGGGCAGCCCCAAGCAAATCACTGCCCTTCTCTTTAGGCCTCGGCATCCCACTGCATCATGATCCTGTGTCCTCAGAGCGCATCACCTGCAGGCACTTAAAAGACGATGAGTTCCATCCTCTCAGTGCTCCAGTATCACTTGAGAAGCTTTAAAACAATACCCAGGTGGCCAGATCCCACCCCAGATCAACTGAATCAGAATATCTGAAGATGGAATTCCGGGCTTGGGCATCTGTGTGGTTTTTAAAAGCTTTCTAATGATTCTCGTGCACATCTCAAGACGAGACCATCTGCCTGGAGGCCAAACCCCCTTTGCACATGCGCAAACGGAGGCTCGGAGTCTTCTTACTCCTCCGCGGTTAACTGAGCACTCTTGAGTCTCCCCTCGCGCGTGTCCCAGGGCCCTGGGCACCCCTCCCTGGAGCAGCACCTTACCGCAGCCTGGCTGTGCGCACGTGGGGGAGTTTCTGTAACGTGGGACAGCATGATGCCTTACAGAAGAAGACAAAGGGGGAAATTCTGAACACCTGCTAGTAGCCACCCTATTTCCCCATCCCCCAATGTGTGTGTGTGTGTGTGTGTGTGTGTGTGTGTGTGTGTGTGTATAGCGATTGTAGCCTACAATGAAATAAAACTATAAACCTCACAGCAAGTGATAAATGTAGGTTATACAAAATGTCCAGAATAAAGAGATCTGTAAAGACAGAATGCAGGTTGGTGGTTGCCCGGGGCCGGGGGCAGGAGGACCGGGGAGAAGCTGTTTAATGGCAACAGGATTTTACTTTGAGGCCATGGACATGTTTTGGAACTTCTTTTTGGGTGGTTGGTTGTACAATACTGCGAATGTACTACATGCCACTGAATTGTTCGCTCTCATGGTTAATTTTATGTTCTCCGAATCGTACCTCAATAAATTAGTTTTTAAAATCTAGACAAGACAGAAAGGGGAAAGAATAATGAAGAACTCTACTAACCACACAGTCAGGTGTTAGGCACAGTTAACACGTGAGTGTGCGTCCTTCCTGATTGTTTTCTCTGCATCCGTGTACCCACGGCTCCCTGTTTGCCCTTTTAAGTCGGGCACTGTTGGGAAGATTTCTCAGGGCCTGGATACTTTTAATCCTTCTGTGCTTCCCTGAGAAAGAGTGGTGGCTTTTCCCTTTCTGCCTGCCCATTTCCCACCACAGGCTTCCCTCACCACATCGTTGCTTTGCAGAGTTCTACTGGACAGCCCCTGAGCTGTTGCGGCTCCAGAGGCGCCCTAGTCGGGCACCCCAAAGGGAGATGTTTACAGCTTTGCCATCCTGATGACGGAGCTGATCCACAACCAGGACCACAGGCCTTTTGAGGACCTCCACGAGGCGCCAGATGGTAAAGCTGAAAGAGCCTCTTTGGCAGGCTTTGGTTGTGTGGGCTAGCTTTCAAATGCTTGTTTTTTAATTCAGTGTTTATTAATTTATGATTTATTCCATTGTTTTTTCTTTTTAAAGTTTATGTTCTTTTTTAAATTAAAAAACTAGTTGCAGTTTGCTTATAAAAACAATCCAGGAACTCGGGATTACGCACTTTATTCTATGATAGCAGTCAGGGAGATCTTGTTGGAAAACGATTTAGGTCACATCACTTCTGTTCACAGCATCCTCCCCTGGCTTCCCATTTAGGGAATGAAAGCTAAGCCCTAACAGTGGCCTGCAAGACCACCAAAGCCCTTCCACCTGGCCTTGGGGACCTTCTCTATTAGTGTCCTATGGTTGCCATAATAAGTTAACCACAAATCTGCTAGCTTTAAGTGACAGAAATTTATTTTCTTACAGTTCTAGAAGGCAGAAGTCCAAAATCAAGGTTCAGCACGGCCGTGCTCCCTCTAGGAGCTTTAGGGAAGATCTGTTCTTTGCCTTATCTAGTTTTTGGTGGCTGCCCGGGGCTTCATGGGCTTGTGGCCAAATTGCTCCAATCTCTGCCTTCACCTTAACATTGCTTCCTCCTCTGTACACTTCTCCTCCGTCTGTATCTTATAAGGGCACTTGTCGTTGGATTAGAGCCCACCTGGGATTCTGAAATGATCCCCTCAACCCAAGATACTTAATTATATCTGCAAAGACTTTTTCTTCAAATAAGGTCACATTCACAGGTTCTGGGGATTAGGACATGGACGTATCTCGTTGGGGACCACCATTCAGCTCAGTACACCTTCCTAATTCCATTCCGCATGGTTTGCCCCTTTCAGTCATGCTGGCCACCTTATGTGCCTCCCTCATGCCAGACACATTCCTACCCCAGAGCCTTTGCACACACTGCTCCTTCTGTTTGGGTATCTCTCATCTCATATTTGTAGATACAAATTTGCTTTATTCTTTCTTAAGGACTACAGAATTTTTCATTGTAAGGATATGCCATGTATTATTGATTAATACACATCCTGGTTATTTTCCATTTCTTGCTATTATAGTTGCTGCAGTGAGTAGCCTTGTATCTTTGTGGACATAAAATTGAAGAGATAAATATATTTTAAGTATATTTAATTTTTTTTAATAAGTGCTGCCCAGTTGTCTGTATAGGATATGTTCAGGCTTATTTTTTGCTGAGTTGTCTCTTAACACACATCGCGTCATGGAATTAAGGGCAGAAGTGGTGGGAGATAAAGCAAAATTTGATCCAGATTGATAAAAAAAAAAAGTATAGGAGGCGTAACCCCCAGCACTGTTACTTTCCAGGTTAGCCATACACTGGAATTACCTGGGAATTTAAAAACTGCTACTACCTGGGTCTCAGCCTAGGAGATTCTGATGCCATATGCCACCATCTGGGCATCAGGGTTTGCGGGTGATTCCAGTGTGCAGCCCATGTTGAGACCTGCTGTCTCGAGTGAGCCCAGGGAAGTGTTTATGTGTCAGTTTCTAAGTTTCTCCCTTGATTTATTTTCTGTACCACTTTGCCTATCATTTCTAGCCCATTCCCAGGGGCCAGCCTCAAGTCTCATCTTTACATCATCATGCATTCCCTGGAGACTTTTTTCAAGTCAGGAGCCTTTCTGAATGTATGTAGTTGCTTTAAAAGCGGATTCCTGGGGCACCTGGGTGGCTCAGCCTGTTGAGCGTCTGCCGTCGGCTCAGGTCATGATCCCAGGACCCTGGGATTGAGTCCCACATCCAGCTCCCTGCTCAGCAGGGAGTCTGCTTGTCTTTTTCTCTCTGCCCCTCCCCGCCAGCTCAGGCTCTCTCTCCCTTGCTCTCTCTCACAAAAACAAACAAATTAATTAATTAATTTAAACAAAATCTTTAAAAAATAAAAATAAAGAGATTAGATTCCCCCAAAAAAATACATAAATAAAATAAAATAAAATAAAAATAAAAGTGGATTCCAGTTTCTACTCTATGGTCAGGTGAAATAGAGGGTGGACTAATCCCGAAAGGTTCACCCTAAATCCAAGTGCAACTGACTTTGGAACCAAGAAGCTACATAGATCTTCCTAGACTGAGCCCAGGAAGGAGCCCATCTGTACTTGCCAGGCTCAGCTGCCATGGGATTGCACCAATTGGGGTGGAGGTGGGGGGCGGAGGTGGCAGTGGGGATGGGCAGACTGTATACAGTTGGTATGTTTGCCCTTCACTGTAGTCCTTTGCTCACAGAGTTAAATGAGAGCTAGCCATATGGGACTATGTACATACAGGACTGCAACCAGGAAAAGTACAAGGTGCACCTAATTTATGGACAAACACGCTTCTTCCATTAACTCCTCATACTTCCCTACAAATAATCCTGGTGCTGGGAACTGGATAGATATCAAGTCTATGCACACACTAGACCAGTGCTTTTCACATGTTAGTGGGTGTCAGAATTACCTGGAGGGCTTGTTAAAACACGGAATTACTGGGTCCTGCCCTCAGGGTCTCTGACTCAGGAGGTCTGGGGCAAGGCCTGAGAATTTACGTTTTTATCAAGTTCCCAGATGATGTTGAAGATCCACAGTTTGAGAGGCACTGGCCTAGTGAACCCTGGACCAGCGGCATCAGCATTCCCTGGGTACTTGTTAGAAATGCAAAATTTCAGGCCCAACCCCAGGCCTTTGGAATTGGAAACTGTGGGGGTGGGCCCAGAATCTGTGTTTTAAAAGCCCACCATCCCCCATCCTGATGCACACCAAAGAAGAACAGTTACAATAGAGTAACCATGGATGGCTGATGATTAAAGAACAGCTGCACATTACCAGCTCATGACATGTGTACTCTGAGGGGCAGACCCACAATTTGAATTTGAACCCATACGGTAGTTGTGTTTGTTTTTTTTAAATGTATTTTCTTTCAGATTATTTTTAGGCATGAAAAATGTGCACTTAAACTCAAGTATGTACATTTACAAAAACAAGATAATATTTTACACAGTTTTAGAACTTGTATTGTTATTATTAAGTAAAGGCCATACCTTGTTCAGATTTCCTTGGGTTTTTTGGTTTGTTTTTTGTTTTTTTGTTTGTTTTGTTTGTTCATTTTTTAAGAGGAGAAGAAAGGGCAGAGGGAGAAGGAGAGAGAGAATCTTAAGCAGGCTCTACACCCGGTGTGGAGCCTGACACGGGGCTCAATCTCATGACCCTAAGATCATGACCTGAGCCAAAATCAAGAATTGGATGTTCAACCAACTGAGCCACACAGGTGCTTCCAGATTTCCTTAGTTTTTAACCCAGTGTCCTTTCTTACCCCAGCATCCCATCCAGGACACCCCACTGCAGTTAGCCATCATGTCTACTCCATGCTCCTTAGGAATGTTTCTCAGAGACTATCCTTCATTTTTATGACATAGTGCTGGCCAGTTATTTTGTAGAATGTTTCTCATTTGGGATTTGTCTGATTACTTTTTTCATCATGACTAGACTGGGCTTCTCCTTCTTAGGAGGAAGGCCACAGAGGTAAATTGTCATGTTCGTCCCATCATGTCAAGGGTACATAAACCCTGGTTCTTTTTTTTTTTTTTAAGATTTTATTTGTTTATTTGACAGAGAGAGACACAGTGAGAGCGGGAACACAAGCAGGGGTGAGTGGGAGAGGGAGAAGCAGGCCTCCCGCTGAGCAGGGAGCCCAATGCGGGGCTCGATCCCAGGACCCTGGGATCGTGACCTGAGTGGAAGGCAGACACTTAACGACTGAGCCACCCAGGCGCCCCAAACCCTGGTTCTTTTAACTGGAGAATGATATTGGAAACCAAGACCTAGCTGCTGGGTGTGCTCGTTGCTGCTGGGGTGCTGTGGCATCCTGCCCCTCCCAGGGGCATGTGCACACACACATTTCCATATCTGTATCTATACCAAGCTAAACATGAGTTCATACTGACATTTCCAACATCATTACCACATGGTTCATTTATTCTAGTCTCCCTATCACTTATCCAAACCTCCCTTTCCAACAGTGAGATCCTGGCTCCCACCATTTGCCATCCATTTATTTACGTACCCAATCGCCTCCTAGGTCTGTGGTACTTTCAGAGTTCTTATTCCGTCCCCTCGTGAGAAGCAGTGGTGCCCACGAGAATACAGTGATTGTGAATGGGTCCTTTTGTTTAGTCTTAATGGTCTCAAGTCATTCTTTAGTCATGGTCTGCCCCTATCCTGGGATTGTCCCGTATCCTAACAGATGTTAAGAATTTGTGTTTTTTGAGGTTTACTCTCCGTGCTGTAAAGTTCTGTGGGTTTTAGCAAATACACAGTATCATGTACCCACCTCTATAGCCTTTTCTGGAATGTCATATAAACAGAACCACACAGTGTAGGGCCTTTTCAGACTACCTTTTTTTACTTAGTAATATGCGCTTAAGATTTGTTCATGTTGGGTGCCTGGGTGGCTCAGTCAGTTAAGCATCTGCCTTTGGCTCAGGTCATGATCACAGGGTCCTGGGATCGAGCCCCACATAGGGCTCCCTGCTCAGCGGGGAGTCTGCTTCTCCCCCTGCCCCTCTCCCCACTCATGATCTCTCTCTCACACTCTCTCTCTCAAATAAAAAAATAAATAAATAAAAATTCATGGTGTTACACCCATAGTATTTTTATACCAAAACATGTATACATTGTTCTCAAATTATTATTTCCTCTACAAAACCTGGATAAGCAGAATGTTTAATAAATGTCAGTAGAAGTCAATGCAGAAGTGAAAGAAAGTAGGTTTACAAAGTTGGACATGGAGGCAGCACGTGGTGGTAACATTTATTACTTGCTAAAATAACTTTTATGGGACATTGTATATGGAATACAAATTGTATAAGGTGCACTTTGGGGATTTCCAACCCCAAATTCTTATACACTCCTGAAGTCACATAGACATATATATGCTTTACTTCAAGAAAAGTTCTATTAGGAAAAAAAAACAACTTAATCTAAAAACAGATTCATTAGAAGGTGCTTATATGTTTTACAGTAGGATTCTTCATTTTCCAGGAGGTTCCAGAGTATTTCTCATAAAATATTCAGATTTCTCCAACATTCCAATCTGCCTAATTTATTTAAAAACTCAATTTACAAATTGAAGAGCACATATGTTTGAAGTGTCCTGAATGGCCCAAAGTTTTCAGACATTTGGCTGTCTACATCCCACATGAATTTCAGAAATCATCAGCCGAATCAAAGACCCCATGGCATCAGTTCCATTTCAATCTTCCCTGTCAGAGGAGAAGGGCAATGAGGAGAAGGCCTGTTGGGATGAATCTCCAGAGAAAAGGCCCACTTTCTCGTCCATCAAAAAAATTTTATGAGAAGCCAGTTCCAAAGGGTGAGTGAGATGTGGAACATTTTCTTCTGATCATTTAACCATTAGAATTTTGAAACAATATGGCTGTGACTGCTCCTGTGTGGCTCACTCCGTTCATTCATTCATTCCTCCACTCACTCATTCATTCACCCATTCCTTCATTCATTCATCATCCACCCACTCAGTGCCTTCCACATGCAAAGTACCCTACTGCATGCTGATTAGAGTGATAAATTCTCCCTTTTTTTTGAAATGACACAAAAATGTATCAGACATCAGCACTTCCATTGTCCTCCTTTGTCCATTCCAGATATCACTAATCAACCAAGCTCTCTTTCCCAGGGAATTTCGACATGGCCCCAGACGTTTTCTGAACCAGCATTCCAAGGGTCATGACTCATCAGTTGGGGTTGGGCAATGAGATAAAAAACTATTCACCAACCTTAGAGTAAGTCTTTAACTTAAATTATTCGTGACTCCCAAGCAATTTCCTCAATAGTAGCTTGCTTCATATTAGGATAATTGTGTCATCTTTTGGCACATTGAGCATATGCAGGCATGGCCATGTTAGAAGTAGCTTGATTTGATAGAAGGGCCCTGGGCTGGGAGTCTGGCATCTACTCCTAACTTGGCCATTCTGCTGTGTATTCTTAACACAACAGCCCTGTATTCTGCATTTTCCACATCAAAATTGTTTTAAATGGTATGTCTCAGGCCAAATGACTTTTACTCAGAAAATCTGCTCTCCTATGTTAAGGCAAGTCTACTTCCTATGTGAGCCTCAGTTTCCTCATCCGAAAAATGGGGAATTGAAACGATTTTTCTGAAGAGGCTTCTAAAACAAGAGCCTATAGGATCTTGAAGTGCCCCTATATCTGTCATCTGAAAAGAAAACAGCTGGTGTTATCCAGAAAAAAAAAAAAACTGTCCTGAAATCTGTATTTCTGACTGACCATGACAATGATCTGGAGCATGTTGGGAAGTGGGGGAAGGCCAATTTGTTGAGTGCCTGCTGAGTGCCAGACACAGATTGAGACATTGTACCCATTATCTCCCTGAACCCTCCCTGAACCCTCACAACAGCCCTGGGAAGTATGTGTTATTATCCTCATTTTCCAGAGGAAGAAGCTGAGGCTCAGGGAGATGAAGGGTGCAGGTCAAGGTCATAGAGCTGGTAGAAGGCCGCGTGACCTCATTGCCATGGTCATTTCACTGCTGTCCACGGGCAGCCCTGAAGTAGGGTACCTGAAGGGCAAGACATGTTTTCTTATCTTGGAATGTATAGCTGGAAGTTGTGCTCCACTGTGGCCCTAAATTTCTTGGGAAAAAGTGTTAATGTGGGGGTTCTTTTAAAGCCACATGAACATCTTAGACAGTATGGTGAGCAAGCTGGAGGTGTATGCCAATCACCTGGAGGACGTGGTGGAAGAGAGGACCAACCAGCTGATGGCAGAGAAGAGGAAGGTGGATAGGCTTCTGTCCACAATGCTGCCAAGGTATTCCAGAGCACGGGGTGGGGGTGGAGCTTTTCAAAGTTCCGGGAAAAAATAGCATCACTATCTAAAAGGCTCCACATAGAGAGAATATTTTTCTTGTTCCTTTAATAAGAGGAAGTCAGGTTCTTCTAAAACAAGTGAAGCATTTTGCAGGCAACTTGGTACAGCCTGTAAAAGGAGATAGGGGCAAAGGACTAGAGAATGTCTTACAGTAAAGATTATGGCTGCGGCAACAGGAGAGCGACCACTAGATGGAGCTCTGGTTGCATGAGTCTGATTAATTGCTAGCTCCCCAGTATTTGAGATCGTGCTCCAAAACCTTTCTTTGCACAATATGATATGCGCTCATGACTTCAGTTTCAAAACTCGCCTCATTTTTGGCTGTAATTGCATCTGTACTCTCTTTAAACACTTGGCAGGAGCATCTGCTATTAAAATTCCAGCACCCTTCCTGTGTGTCTTGACAAAGAGGTGGGGTCGGGGATTTGAAGGTGTTAACGTGAGATTGGCGGATTAAAGCAAAAATATTGATTTGTGGATTGGTGGCTGCTTACTTTTCCTCCCACATCTGTAGGTTGAATCTTTACCATCAAACTCTATAACCAACGGGGAAAAATGAGATGCCCTCAGGGAGAAAATCCTTATTGTAAAGGCATTTCTGTAACCTGCTCCCCCCTCCTCCAATTTATACCCACCAATGAAAGTATCTCTTTAGAGAAAATGCAGGCGGAGAAATGGGAGTCAAAAGAATCCCTGTAGATGATGGAATTTTTGTTAACCAAAAACCTAATCCACTGAAGCAAAAGGAACTATAAGGATGACTCTGCAGGGGTTTGTAGGAGACAAAATGAGTAAGAGTCTGTTCAAAACCGATCCCTATTCTCTGGTTTCAGCTTCATTGGAGAACAGCTCATAGCTGGAAGGTCCGTGGAACCGGAACATTTTGAGTCCGTGACAATCTTTTTCTCTGACATTGTTGGATTCACAAAACTGTGTTCTCTCAGCTCCGCCTTACAAGTTGTGAAGCTCCTTAATGACCTGTACAGTTTATTTGATCACATCATTAAGACATATGATGTGTCTAAGGTGAGACACTTGGCTTCTGGGCTGTGAGGGGACACGCTCTCCTTGTCGGTTGACTCCAGGGCAGGAGTGAGGGTGGACCCAGCCCTAGCTGTCAGCCAGGGAAAGGCTCTATTTCAGGCTGGCAGTCTGTCTCTGCATGGCAGAAACTCAATATTTTATTCCCGTTTTCTTGGAAAAGGGCTTGATTAATCACAGATGCATGTGCTTGTCAAGATTCACCAGTTGCTCCTTGTTTCCTTCCATTATTTTATCTCTCAGTAAACACATTTCTAAAGAGGCATTGACCTCCTACTGACTAATCCTCCAGCTTGCTCCTAAATATATTTCCTTTGTATTCAGAGAGGCTCACATTTATTCTCCTTTAAAGGTTGTCTTCGGACCCCGTGTGAGTCTCACTTCCGTTACTGTGGTCCTTAGCAGTGCAGGTGAAGACAGACGCCCAAGTGTAGACTATCAGACTCGTGGCTAAAATGAGAAACAAGGATCTGCCTAGTGCCCCTCAGCAGGGGCGGGGGAGAGAGATGTAGGAATATAGTAAAAAATGATTTGTCGGGGAAGGATAGCAAAATGAATAATTTGGCTTCATTCAAGTGGTGGTGATGGCTGCTTTGGATGTTTTCTGAGTTTTCTGATGGGGCTGGATCCTGACTTCAGGGTGCCCAAGCTCATGCATCCTGGGGCAGCCACAGGTTCTGACCATGATTGCAGGGCTCTGCCTGTGGCCCTGGGGCTGGGGAGATTTGGGGGACAGTGTGGTCATATCCCCAAGGGACATAACTTTAATGGTTATCCCCCAGTGTTCCCCGCAGATATGCCTCTGTTTAAGGATGAAAGAAAAGATGGTGTGGATAATCTCAAAGGGTAGGGCACATGTACCCCAAAACGGAAGCTGCTCTGCTTAGGAGGGTGTCCTCTGGGATTTCTTCTTGGTGTTATGTTCTCTGCTATGTTTTGCACGAGCTAATACAAATCAGTGTCAGTGTCTAAAGGATGTGTATGTACCCGTGATGGGGAAAGGTAGCCTAGAAGCAATCAGACTTGTGTACTGGTTGATTTTGTGTAATTCTGGGGTGACCAATAGACAGAGGTGTTTTTACTGCCTGGCGAATGCCTGAAATCCCACCTTTACCACATGATCTTTGGATTCTGCTATAAAATGCAAACATCTGGAAAGGGTTGTATCTTTAAAGTTTATACTGATCATTTATTTTCTATTGTGAATGAGGGATCTGAAAGCTGAATTTATTAGGATTTATTAGGGGAGAGAAGAGGACAAATCAGGCAGATACATGCATTTACACATAAGTATAAGCATATATATTGTGTCTAATGTATACATATGTATAAATGTACCTAAGAGCCCTTGTATGGGGTGAAGACATTTCAGGTTGGGCAAGATGAATTCCACTTGATGGATGCATGTGATCCTTCAAGATTTACCCTATTCGTGGGCAGAAGACATGAACAGACATTTTTCCAAAGAAGACATCCAAACGGCCAACAGACACATGAAAAAGTGCTCAACATCGCTCGGCATCAGGGAAATCCAAATCAAAACCTCCATGAGATACCACCTCACACCAGTCAGAATGGCTACAATTAACAAGTCAGGAAACAACAGATGTTGGCGGGGATGTGGAGAAAGGGGAACCCTCCTACACTGTTGGTGGGAATGCAAGCTGGCGCAACCACTCTGGAAAACAGTATGGAGGTTCCTCAAACAGTTGAAAATAGAGCTACCATATGATCCAGTAATTGCACTACTGGGTATTTACCACAAAGATACAAAGGTAGGGATCCGAAGGGGTACGTGCACCCCAGTGTTTATAGCAGCAATGTCCACAATAGCCAAACTGTGGAAAGAGCCAAGATGTCCATCGACAGATGAATGGATAAAGAAGAAGTGGTATATATACACAATGGAATATTTTGCAGCCATCGAAAGGAATGAGATCTTGCCATTTGCAACGACGTGGATGGAACTGGAGGGTGTTATGCTGAGCGAAATAAGTCAGTCAGAGAAAGACATGTATCATATGACCTCACTGATATGAGGAATTCTTAATCTCAGGAAACAAACTGAGGGTTGCTGGAGTGGTGGGGGGTGGGAGGGATGGGGTGCTGGGTGATAGACATTGGGGAGGGTATGTGCTATGGTGAGCGCTGTGAATTGTGCAAGACTGTTGGATCACAGATCTGTACTTCTGAAACAAATAATGCAACATATGTTAAGAAAAAAGAAAAAGAAGAAGATAGCAGGAGGGGAAGAATGAGGGGGAGTAAGTCGGAGGGGGAGACGAACCATGAGAGACGATGGACTCTGAAAAACAAACTGAGGGTTCTAGAGGGGAGGGGGGTGGGGGGATGGGTTAGCCTGGCAATGGGTATTAAAGAGGGCACATTCTGCGTGGAGCACTGGGTGTTATGCACAAACAATGAATCATGGAACACTACATCAGAAACTAATGATGTAATGTATGGTGATAAACATAACAATAAAAAATTAAAAAACAAAACAAAAAAAGTATGGTATTATTTGGACTTTCACATTCTGCGTGGAGCACTGGGTGTTATGCACAAACCATTAATCATGGAACACTACATCAAAAGCTAATGATGTAATGTAGGGTGATTAACATAACAATAAAAAATTTAAAAAAAGAAAAACATCTCAAGAAATTAAAAAAAAAACAAAACTAATGATGTACTGTACGGTGATTAACATAACTTAATAAAATTAAATTAAAAAAAAAAAGATTTACCCCATCCGTACACTGCTGCCCGTTTAACTGGTTTTGAACTTGAGTTGTGGAAATATGGTCACCACCACTATTAGATTTCAGAGGAGAAAGCAGTGACTGTGTGCAGGAGGGCTCAGGGAAGGAAGGCTTTGTGAAAGAACCAGGACAAGGGCAGAAACTTGTAGAAATGCTGGGACATGGGAGGAATGGAGGTCAGGGAGTGTGACTCTTCAACGTGGGGGGGCCTCAGAGCAAGGCCACTTTGTTACTTTATTTTCAGGTGGAAGCCACTGGAGATGCATACATGGTGGCTAGCGGACTTCCCATCCGCAATGGAATCCAGCGCGTGGACGAGATTGCCCCAATGTCCTTGTACGTCCTCAGTGCCACTGTCTACTTCCAGAAGGGGCACATGCCTGAGGAGAAGCTCAGGCTCAGGATTGGCATCCACACAGGTAGACAGCCCTGGGCCTTAGGGTCCACGCATGACAGCAGGTGGTTCTGGATTCAAGTCCTGGGTCTGAGGTTTTTAGGACCCCGAAGTTGAATGGTAACATCTTCAAGGGAAACAGGGTTGCATTGTCTCTGTAAATCTATTTCCAGCTAGCCAGATTAGTTGGTGACAGCGAAGACACCCAGAGACTCCAAGGTGTTGAACCAAAAGTTAAGAGGAGACCAAAACGCAGGACGGTTATATGCGGCTGCTATCCGCCCCCCCCCCCCGCCCCCCCCATGCTTCTGCATCAAATGCCCTTTGGTCTGGTCTGGTTTTGGTCAAACTCATGGGCACATGACCTGTGCAGAAGCAACCAGCACTTGGTTTAATGCTCTTCTTAGTCTCTCAATATATTATCATAACATTATTAATATAATTATCACTATAATATTATTATATTAATAATATTTATATTACTTACTTTCTTAAATAATTTATTAATAGGTTTTGAATGAGGGGTTCCTTATTTTCATTTTAGACTGGGCCCTGTAAGTTATGTAGCTAGACCTGCTTCTACCTGTCTGTCCTCCAAGGCTTGACTAAAATAAGACCTGGCCCCTAATCAGAATTAATTACTCCCACATTTGTGCTGCAGTTCCTTTGTTTACATCTCTAGTGCATGAATAACATCATCATTAATTTCTGCCTGAGCTTGGTTGTTATAACAAAATACCACAGACTGGGTGGCTTAAACAACAGACATTTATTTTCTCACAGTTCCGGAGGCAGGGAAGTCCGAGATCAGGGTTTCAATATGGTCAGTTTTGATGAGGACCCTTTTCTTAATCGCACTAAAGGCTGCCTTCTGGCTATGTCCTCACATAGCGAAGAAAGAGAAAGCGCTCTGGTGTCCCCTCTTCTTCTAAGGGCCCTACCCTCAGGACCTCATCTAAACCCTAAGTACCTCCCTAAGGCCCTGCCTCCTAATACCATCATCTTGAGGGTCAGGGCTTCTGCAAGTGAATGAAGGAGGGGGTTACAAACATTCGGCTCATCATAATTGATTATGTGGTTTTCCACCAGAAGTCTGTGGATTCTGTAGGTTGCCTCTTTGTAAACCCTAAGATCTGTTGCCAAGCTCTGCCTGAAGAGGGCACTTAAATATTTGTTGAATTGCATTTACTGACTTAATGTGCATCATGCAGTCCAGCCCTTGGAAAATGCAGATGGGCTGGCTATATACCCTTCTGTTCTCCTCCTTGTAGGTCCTGTGGTGGCTGGTGTGGTTGGAATCACCATGCCCAGGTACTGTCTGCTGGGAGACACTGAACATACTGTGTTTCATCCACAGCCTTCAGGTAAGGGGAAGATTTTTCTAGAAGGCAGCAGCATAGACCTAGCTTTGAATTTTACTGGCTGTCTTATTTGGGGGCCTGGTTTTATCACCAGTAAAATGGGAATGGTGATAATATTGCCCTTGAAGGGTAGATGTGGGGATTAAATGTGAACATGTATATGAGGTGCTTCACCTGATGCTCTACTAATCAGACGAGCTCATAGATTTTATTATTATTTTTAAAAGATTTCCTTTGCAGCGAAATTCAGCCTTGACAGGCCCACACCCCCTAGGCCATTGCTGACTATCCATTTATGCTTACCAGCAAAGCCCAAGGAAACCAAGATTTCATCTATAATGAGGCCTTCCCTTCACTGAGGCTGCTCCTGCCTAATTGCACTTTGGCTAAGAACAACATTTTCAGTCAACAAGCAAGGGAGACCGAGTTGTCTGTTCAGAGGGCACACTTCATGGGCAGCCGTTCCTCCTCTGTGACTCCCACAGGGCAAAGGAGAACAAACAACTTCCTGGTTGAAAGGCAAAGAAGGCTTCACTATTCCACTCCCCGAATTTACTGAGGAAGAAGCTAAAGTCCCAGAGAGCTTCTGAGGTATTTTCTTTAAAGATGTTTGTGGGGTCCATAAAAGTCTGAGGACCATTTGGTTAGATGCCTTAAATATCCCATGCAGGGGGTGTAGATCTGGGGTATTGAGTTAATCTACCAGTAGGGGGAGCCATCTAGCTGGCCTCCTCTTCCCGCCCCAGAGCTCTGTGGAGTTGGGATGAGCTGGGTAGGGTGAACTCATTTCCTGGGGGACCAGGGCTGGGTTGTTGCTCCCAGACCTGCCAGTGAACTTGCCCTAGCTGCCAGATATTTCCGGTCCATTAGCTTGTGAATTTGCAGTGAACCCAATTTCATTCTGGGAGAGAGGAAACCCAGAGGACAAAACTTGGGGCTGCTGGCCCCACCCTGCCTGCCTTCTTTTTTCCAGGGGCTGCTCCCTAACCTTTAGTTATCAGAAGGCATCTCAGCAATGTTTCCCAGGGATAAAGCTCTCTCTAAGGTGTGAACAGTCACTGAAATCCCAACAGGATCAGGCCACTCCAGGTAGACTGGATCAGGGCAGTCAGTCCCCGCAAGGCCTGGTCCTGAGCTCTGACTTCCTGTGAGCACGCAGTTTACAAATGGAAATGTCCCACTCTCAATTTATTGCTTAATTTCTTTCCTATCCAAAGCAAAGGAATGAAGATAGGCTTTGCTTTCAATCAAGGCTTGAATTTTAAGTGGACTTTTTCATTGATTTATGAAGTGCTAAATTTTTTGCAAACTCCAGCAGACGAAGATGAACCCATCCATTCTGCTATGAATATTTCCCCCTTTACACAGAGAATCGGATTCCATCATGTCTGTCAGTGGTTCTTGTAGCAGACTGACTAAACCGGTAATGCACTTAACAGTATTTCTCTCTCTCTCTTTTTTTAATTTTATCCCTTGTAACCCATCACATCCCGATTACCCTCCTCATGGCTGCTCCTGAATATGGGAGAGCAGTTTGCATGATGTGTTGTGTTTGAGACACTTTCCTGGTGAATTCCCTAAGACTGAAGAAGTGAAAACCAATGAGATCGGGAATGTTTTCTTTTTTTTACTTGACCTGTGAGTCGCTTTTGTAGAGATATTTTTGAGCTCTGTATAGGAAAATAATTTTGGTGAGTTGAGAGCCTTTAATACTAAATCTTACAAAAGATTTGGTGCAATTCTTGCCTTTCTTCAGGAAGAGGGCCACTAAATAGGGGCCAAGGGATGTGCTTTACAAATAGTCCCGTCTCCATGGAGCTACTGTGTGTTTCCACTGGCAAGGCTTTTCTTCTGTCCAGAGGTGGGCGACTGAACTCTAGGACCTTCAGAGACTCCATTTTCTCTGACATGATTCCATTTTTATTGTGGGAGGCTCTGCTCCTCCCCATAGGCCTTTAGCATGAAGGCTTGAAAGCATTAGTCAAAAGAAGGCATTTATCTGAGAGGGACAGGGGAGCTACCCCTGCTGCCTCAGCATGGAGACAATGGGACGACATTTATCTTCTTATATTTCAGAATTTCTTCCCTTGTTTGGGAGCAGAGTGTCTGGATTCCAAATACTTTGTTTTCCCATGGAAGGGAACAGAACAACCTCTGCTCTGAGGTCTTTCAGAGAGATAGGCCATTCCCTATCCATCCATCCATCCATCCATCCATCCATCCATCCAACCATCCATCCATATGACATTTCATTAATTCAAAGAGCATTTATTGAGCACTTACGCTGTGCCAGGTACCACACTGGGGGGAGATGAGAACATGAAACATTACTTGATCTTTAGCTCTCAGTTTAGTTGAAGAGAAGTAGCATACAAGTAGTACTGCAATATATTAAGGACTAATAGAGGTATACCCAAAAGTGTGGAGGTAACTAAGCCGTCCAATGTTACATCTAAAAGGCATTAGACAATGATACACTGAAGTAGGGATCGGGTGGGGTATAGTGATTGTCTACCATTATCCCATCTTTGTATTTGTATGGAGTGTGTGTGGGTGTTCCTTTTCAGCTCTAGCCCACATGCTTATACAAGTTATATTTATATAATAAAGACTTTGTTGCTTCTGCCTTTTTCATTGGGCATAATAAACATTTGGCATCCATACAACACATAAAACATTTCCACACAGGTGCATACACGTCCATTCACAGGTGCACAGACATACATGTATACGTATCTATATACATACACACACAGAGAAATCTCTCTGTATCTAAATCTACATCGACTGTTTGATAGGTAGAGATCTATGTGAGTATGTATACTCAGTATATATGCATGTCTGTATATTTTCTTTTCTTTATATTACTCAAGTTTTAAGAGAGTGAGTCTTTAAGGATCATAAGCAGGAATTTGATAAGATTAATTTCCTAAAATCTAAGGATACCTAAGGGAGTTATCTACTCTTTCCTCATTCTCTAAATATGTTTTATGTTTAGCACTCAAGAGAATTTATAACAGAGATTATTTCGAGTGTTTTCTCTTAATTCCTTGATAGAGAAGTTAGAAGACATGAAGGGGCTTTAGCTCACCTGAGGTTGAAACACATTTGATTGCTGGTAGTAGACGTTAGGGCGTTAGAGACAGGGAGATCATACGGATGGCGTTGCTTCCTTGCATCAGAAAGCGAAGGCTGGGAGTTTTGGAAAGTAAATGTAGGGTAGAATGATGGAAAGTCTGTGGTATGTGTGTGAGTCGAAGAAGTTCTAGTCGTAGAAACCCCTGGGAGGGTGGAGGAATTGGCTATCAATATGATACATTAACATCGTAAACTGTAATCATAGGTTATTTATTTTAAGGCATTTTATTTATCCCATAGCACCAGGAGGAGATAGAAGATCATTAAACAATATGATAAAATAAAGCAAAACTAATACAACATTGTTTTACTCTGACAAAGATTTGATCGTGGCTCTAAGTAGGCTATTTAAGAATTTTTGACTAGAACCAATAAAATATGTCTTCTGTCCTTCCTGATTATAAAAATTCTGAATTTATAAGAAGAAGAGATCTCAAACTGGTTGGAGCTCCAGCTTTGAGACCAGTTTAGACTATGCTGAGTCATCTGAATCTAGTCTGTTGCTAAACAAACATGTACTCCTTGTTTCCAGAAATTTGGGAACTAGCTGAATTTCTCAGTTCCTTAGCACAGTTGTAAAAGACCCACCAAACTACAGATCTCAAAACTTCTCAAATACATTAACCACAGAGATACATGCTGATGTGTTTTCAAAGTATGAGCCCACAAATTAAGTCTGTACAGGACTAAGAAAAAAACTTGGAGCTCTGGATTTTCCTATCCCATTCTAGCTTCTGGGGTTGACAGTGCATTCTTGGGGCTCTCCCAGTTGTCTACGAGGTTTGGTTCATTCAGTTTTTATTTTGTTGACCCTGTAAGTCATTAACATCCATGCATTCTGGGTCACTGGGGTGGTGGTGTTATCAGGGTGTGGCACCGTGTGATTCCATTAGCCATTTTTGCCATTGTGCTTCTGATTTTTTTGCTAGGTTCTGTTCTAATGATCGTAAGTCAAGGAGACAAAAACAGATAGATACATGCTTGACTGTTAAAGACTAAATGAGGTCAGACCATTCTGCACAGATGACGATTTCTTGGATCAAATAGAAAAAAAAATAGCGAAAGCGTTGAGCATCACAAGGTGTAGAGTAGGTTTGGGTTGACAGACTTCAGAGGACCTGTCACCGATGTCACTCCAGAGTCATGTGCTAACAGTGGTTTCATTTAGGCAGTGCCACTATATGACGTTAAATTTATGTTAATGTGAGTTTTATTCTTCTTGTGGCTTTAATCCTATTTAATCTGTAATTTTCTTTTGATTTTTGAAATCTATATCAGCTATAAAAATGAGTTAATACCTATATAATGTTTATACCTATTTAAGAAACACTATACTAAAAACAAATTAGGTTAGCCCTGGCAGCCTCTCAAGAATTGTTTTCCTTTCTAATACTCAGGTTTGAGCAACACTATTATATTTCGCTCTGATTGCCACATCATTTGAAAGATTGGAACCCCTGCCTGGTGGCTCAGCCCTGGTTCTTAAATAAGCATTGCACAACATCAATGCCAAAGGCCCCCCTTGGCAAAGTTGGCTATTCCTGTGCATTCTGTACTTAGCACTGACTTTGTGGTCATGCCCTACATTCTCCTCAAAACGCTCAGCAGCACTGGGTTGGGTGTGCTAGTCTTTTAAAATCAGAATAGCTTTCAAAGGAGTCCACTGCAGCCCTGACTTGAGCGTGGGGAAAGGAGACTCCTCCACCAGCTGCAGGAGAGGAACTGGAAGTCGCAGGAAGTCACAGGAGGACGTGGGGCATGAAGGCAATCACTGAGATTCACAAAAATCATTGGAGACGTAATTGGCAAAGCACTACTTTCTGCTTCTCAACAATATGCTCTTCTGTTTGTTCTTGCCGGCAGCACAATAAGTGGGAGTTTGCCACGGACCCAGGAGGTGATGTCGGGTGGGAGGAGATGCCATGCCTGCCTGGCGATCTCCTACAACACGACACAAATCCCCAGCATCACGATGAGGTGATAGAGGACATCTGTGAATCAGACAGGAGAGTGGACAGAACCAGTTTACACGGAGCAAGGACAACACAACAAAGAGTTAACTCAATGGAAGAGTCAACTCAGGGGCATTAAGTAGGCTTTCCTAAAACTCTGCACATTTTATATAAAATCTATTTATCTTTTGGGGTTTCTGTAGCTTGGTCTTGTCAGTTCCGTGCACTGTTCCTTGTCTGAACATGGGTAACACAGTGATGGCTCATTTCACCTTCGGGCTTTCGCTATAGGACTTCCTTTAGAAATGAGGAGCTGGGATTAGAGTCTTAAAAAGTTGGTTTACGTGATTTCTGTAACTAAGAGCAAAGTCTACATCTGTGAGTTTATTAATAAATAGAATGTCTTACCCCATCTCCTCACAGAGTTGTTCTCCTCATCTTTCGGGTGAGATCTTGGATCTTAGCTGAAATGTTTCTTCCGAGAGGCTTCCCTGGCTGCTATCTAAATCATTCCTCTACCCCCACTCCAAGGAGTCACACTACGGGGAAGTGCAGAGGCCTTGCCTATCTCCCTCTGCAGGAGCTCCACTGCCTAGAAGAGTAATGATGGCTGATCTTACTGGATGTGTGCTGTATGCGGGGCATTGTTTGGTGCCCTTAGTTGTAACATTTAATCCATACAGCAGCCATGTATGATAGGAGCAATTATTAGGCCCCATTTCTTAGAGGAAACTGGGGAGTGGAAGGGTGAGTTCATTGCCCAAGGTCATTTAGTGAATGAGGGGCAGAGTCACAGCAGGGACTCAGAAATATTTGTTGAAAAAACAGATCATTGAAAATCACATTCTCTAAAGGCAGGAACCCAAGCAAAGCCCCCTGGTGATGTTTTTTTTGCTGAGAGGTGGAACCCAATTCGGCTTCATCCAATTTACCCCCAGCCGCACCCTTCCTGCAGAGCTGGCTGAAGAGACATCTGTTTACCTCCATCTCGCTCTGTCCCACCCAGGTGTGCTTTAAAGAGCAGCTTTCAATTCCTAGAGGTTTGGTTGGGGCCAAAGCTAAGCTTCTTTTAAAACACACATTTCCTTTTAAAAGGCATTGCCCCATGACCCTTCCCAGAGGTGCCTCTTTTCCTTACCTGAGAAGCTATAGAGACTGGAGAATCCCCTGCCTGTAATGAGTGAAGAGAGAGAAAGCTGAAGGTTTAAGAAGTGATCATGGAAGGAGCCTCAGGTCTATGTTTCCAAAATCCAAATCTGACTATATCCTCTCCTGATTAAACCAATAGCCCCCCCATTGCCTTTAAGACCAAGTTTATAGTGGGGTTCACCAAATCTTTGAAAGAAGAAGAAAACCATTTTCTCCTTGGCTTTCTAAGGCAGGGCTTGGTAAACTTTCTGGAAGGGGCCAGATAATATTTATTTCAGCTATGGGCCTTATGGTCCCTATTGCAACTATTTGGCGCTGCCTTTGTAGGGTGAAAGCATCTGGGGACAATACCTTATATGAACACGTCTGGCTGTGTTCCAATAAAACTTTATAGAAAAATTTGATTTCATATCATTTTTATGATATATCATAAAATATGAAATATCATTCTTTTTTTTCAACCATATAAGTAGGTACAAACTGTTCTTAGCTTGTAGGCCAGAAAACAGCGGCACAGCCTGGATTGGGCCCCTGGTCATAGTTTAGCATATGTTCTCTCAGATGTGTAGCTACTAAAGGCCCCAGCCTTCCCACGGGCCCTGCTCACTCTTCATGTCATACCACTCTTCAGGTCATACTGAAAGATTATGGACACAAGCCTTCCCTAGGCCCTGGACTAGACAAGGGTGAATCCCCTTGCCATGAACTCCCATAGCACTCCACCCCCATCGATAGTCATCTCCCTTTCCCTTGGCATTTAGCATCTCTCTCCTTGCTAGATGAGTTCTTGCAGACAAGGGCCATGGGGGTCTCCTTTCATTCTGAAACCCCAGTGTCTAGTCCAGCCCAGGGCCAGCACTGGATGCTCTATGAAGTTTTGATGACTTGCACCAGATGTTCCCAGTACATTTCGTTGTCTATTACTACAGTTTGCCACGTGCTCTGCCCGGAAGCTCAGCACTTTCTAATTCCTTGCGGGCATTGGAATTTAGGCTGCAGACAGAGAGTTTCAGGGTAGTTAATAAACCTCAACTTCTTGGTTTGGCATGAGCTACGGCTTCCCCTGCCGCTGCCCCCCCCCGCCCCCCTGCCAGGTGGGAAGCCTTGAGTTGCAGGTGAAGGTAGTGTCTACAGGCACAACTGGTTTGGCAATTCCGTTAAAATGCTCCAACCGGCTGTGCCTGTGGACGCAGCCCAGCGTGAACCCAAGCATTCGGAAAACCGAGAAGCTTACTACGGAGGGAGAGCTCCACCACCAGGACGCCCCCTGTCTGGTCCCGGAGTAGGCGCTTCCTCTTATCACAGGTCTGAAGACCCCCAGCCGCAGGGAGCGGGGGGGGGGGGGGGGGAAGGGGAGGAGGGGGGCATGAGAAATGCACACAGGAAAGAAAAGGGAGAAAGGCAAGAGATTAAAAAAAAAGAAGTCACAAACTTGGTAGAGTCAAAACTCCCCAGTCAACAGATCTTAGTTACCTTATTTGTCTGTCGTCTATTTATTTACTTCCTTCCTTCCTTCCTTCCTTATTATCCAGAGCACTGTCTTCATCCCTTCTCTAACTTGGTTAAAAGGAAAAAGCTTTACTTTATGACCTCTTCAAGCTAGAAGACACCCTGCTGGGAGAGGTTGTTGGGTGTGGGAGGGATTGGCCCAGTTTCTTTTGTTAAGAAGTGAGGCTTTTACCTACAGTTACTCGCCTTACAGTGGTTTGAGAGGTGGACACTTGCAAAATGTGTTCTGGCTCATTTTCTTTTCTTTTTAAAATGTAGTGCCAATAATTACCCTTTCAGCAACTGTAAAAATATCTGTCTGCTCCCTGCCCTTTATTTGTGCTCCTATGTGATCATTT